TCCATTTCCTTCCAATCTTGAAACACAGATTTCACACCACAAGATCCCCACCAGCACCACCTTGGATCTTGACCCACCAGCCCACTGAAAATTCAAATCCCGAGGTGCAAAGCTCTCTCTCGCAGCTTAATCTCGCTATCGAGCCTTGGTGCTCAGCGATGAAGTTTGTGATTTTCCCCTCATTGGATTGAGAGTAATCCCCCAAGCTCACTGCAACAACTCTCCCTCTCTCCACCGCCATCTGGCACTAAACCTAACTGGGGGATGCTTTAAGGACGATCTTACAGCACAATCAAGAGATTCTATGAACTCGGGAAGCACACCAATAGTAGCTTGAATATGCTCGAATTAACCCAGGGCACATCCTGACAGCAATTTGCCGATTGGTACGGCTTCTTTGCTTCCTTTAGCATCCTTTAGCATTTCGAGGGGGCATGAAGCCTGGATGCCTGGATGCCTGTGGATCCCTGGCTTCAACTGTTCATATCTAAGTGACGCAGAGCGTTCATCATCCAGAACAGCCGGCTTCTTCGCATCAGATGACCTCATCCCGCAACCGACATGCAGCGCCATACAGGGTGCTTTCCAAAACCTTGAAACTTGAATTCAAAACCGAGGGAGCGATCTTGGAAACAGCGAAATAAGACCACAACAGCCACAACATGTCTTATAGGATGATAATCTGATAGGAGGTTTCCATAGGTTTCCCATTCCCAGGTTAGATTATTGGAGGGTAGCCTGCCATCTGTAGCTATTCACCTTGGTCTCCCCTACGCAGAGTCTCCACATGAGAATACTGCAATGCCATCATCGCTGATGTCACGCCTGAGATGGCGTGGCAAAGGCTGACGCAACCAGTAGAACATATGTGGCTAGTTTAAAAAAAGTTGAAAACAATTGTCAACATAACAATATAGCTACTTATTAGCTACTTCACACCTTTCATTCTGCAGCAAAAACCACTCTAGATATACCGTAATCTGAAAATCAATATCACATATTTGGCGTCAGGACTTTATGTGCGACACCCGCATGACTGAACTCCCCACTTTAAAATAGCATTGACGAGGGCCACGAGGACCCCTGCACCCAGGATAGTACCTGCAGGCTTGTCAGCACGGCGAAGGTTTATGCGGAAATGTGCCAGTTGTGAAGCAGTTCTTTGACCAGATTTTTTAACATATGACTTATATCAATCATTAGCCTGTTTGTCTGTTGCCATGTCCGTATGCAAAATGTGGAGCCCAGGGGGTGGCCCAGGGGGCAGCCTATGAGCAGCCCCAAATGGAGCCCCAATGTATGTTAAAGACCCATGTTGGGTCTGAAAAAGGGTTCACCTCAGGCCTTGGCGTGCACAATCAAACTTGGTATGAAACAAACCTCTTGAGTCAGGTGACCCAAGTCTGCTTGGACAACATGTTGGAGCGCCAGTGCCACACTTTGAGCATAGTCATCGAGGGCCATCGGCCCATAGGGTTTTGGCTTGAGCATGGTGATTGCAATGATTTCATGGAATAGGTGTTTTTTGCTTGAGACTTGGATTTTGTTACCGCATGGTGACATACTTATTGAGTTCACGAAGCATTTTTGACGACCTGATTTTGATGTTTGACCGGGGGCTATTGCCATGAAGCGCTTGCACGGCAGTAGTGATGATGAACCAGCCCCAGGCATCTAGTAGCAAGTCATTTTTTGCCACTTTGACACCGGGTGGCATTTTTTTGAACTTCACTGCAATGGTCATACCATACATTGCAATTACGTTGGGCAGGGAGTCTGTGAGAGTGCTGTACAGTGGTTGGGGCGCTCTTCCCACTTCCCGTCAGCTCCTTTGATGCAAGGAAGCTGCTGCTACATCAACGTTTGCACCATCTGAAGTTGCACGCGAAGACGCGTAGCAGTTTTCAGAGACTTGTCTAGTGTGGAGGACGTGGTGTCAAGGTAGTGTTGGATGGTTTGATGTCTAGACTGGCTGAATGAAGTTCCGACATGTTTCTTTAGGCAACTTGAAACCTCTTTCCTTTTCATGGGCACGGCGCCCCCCCAATGCTTGGCACTTGGAATCTGCCGTTGCTATATAGTTGGTGTGCAGCAGGAGATCTATGACAAGGACAACTTCGAATATGGTCCATTTCATCACGGTGCATTGCCGGGAATCTGGTCACCTTCCGGATTGATCCATAGCTGCAAAGAGCAGGCCAAGACGTAGCATGGCGGTAAAACATACTTCTGCGCATTGGCAAGAATATGTTCATTTTTCAGTGACTTTTCTTGGCTGGATACTGTGATGACAACTGACATTGATTACTTGCTGACGCCTGTTTGTGTGCTATAACGATTCTGATTTTGAGTCTATGATTATCTCAAAATTTGCTCTTTTCAATCATTCTCCAGCGTTGGCAGGAAACTGCCTTTGCTTCGAGTGACCTCTTCCATTGGCTGGTCGTGCGGGGGATGTAGCTTAGGCTGGGGCTATTGCGCTGATCGTTTGGATTTGGACGATTTGCAGGCGCCAACAGTGGCGGCCAAGGCGCTTGGGCGCACCTTACATGTTGAGAACTTCTCAGAGCTGATATGGAAATTTGAACCAGTAAGGATAGTCAGGATTATCCTTTTTGATTCTGTGACATGGGGTCGGTTCCCACTTTGAGCTGCACTCTGGGCTGCACTTTGTTTCACTTTGCCACCAAAACTTCCCCCCAGGAACGGTTCAGAACGGTTCAGAACGGTTCTGAACTATTGTGGGGGTGTTTACGCATGGTGTTTGGGCACGTTTGGACCAGCTTTTGGGAGTTTTTTGTGTGTTTTATTGTTGTCTTAAATGATTTTCGCGGCTTCAATCCACCTGGGAAGGACCTGAAGAGGAAGGACTCTACAACACAAAAAAAAACGGCTGTGAAATCAGAGCTGGGGATTGAGCCTTTCCAAGGCTTTGTGCCTCCTAGCTTATTTCAATGCGAGGGAGTTGGACAAATTTGACATTGAAGCTGCCAAGCTCCTCGCACCTTGTCAAACGCTCCCCCCTTATTTACATTGCTGTAGATCGCATGATCAAACAGCCAAACCACATGTTTTTTAATTAGTCCTTGGCAGTTTTCGATGATTGTCGTGCATCATATCAATTGAACAATTTAATGCATAAATTAAATTGTGATTGTTATGTTTAGTTTACTTTTATTAATATTCGACTTCTCTTTTACGACTTACACAGTGTGAGACGTTTTTCTTTGCTGCGACATTTTTTAATATAGAAACTGCCCTTCCCTTTCATTAATAACTTCAAACCTTTAAGACCACGTTTTCAACTTAAAATTTTGATATTCAAAAAACATGTGCCAAAACACGCCCCAAGACATCTGCCAGGAAACCGTTCTGAACCGTTCTTTGTAGAAAGTACCCAAAAAACGCAAATAGTTCAGAACCGTTCTGAACCGTTCCGGGAAACGGAACCGTTCTGAACCGTTCTTTGAGGGGTGAAGTTTTCATCAGAGAACCGTTCTGAACCGTTCTTTGTGCATCCCAAAGTAGTGTTTTTCTGTATTTATTTGAACAGTATTTTTCAACTTGTTTTCTTTTACGGATATCTGATATCTTAATCATTCATCATGTGATTTAAAACATCATTGCATGTTGAATCATTTCGCTTCATTTTCAACGCATATCATTTTATACTACTTTAGTATCATTTCATCATACCACATCTTATCACCATGTATCGCATCAAATATTTTCATCATGACAACATCAAATCACGGAGCCCTTCCACGTTTCCACGCCATGGTAATTCCACGGTATATAGACACAGACACAGAGGCACAAATCGTACCGAAATAACATACCATGTCAGTTTGCATCATGTCATAAGTCGTATAGGTCAAGTCATACCATCACATCATATGAATCATATCGCAACATATCATGTCCAAACTCAACAATTGCCTAAACTTCAAACTTGTTTTAAAGCTTCCTATTGGACTAATCCTGCAGCGCTCTTAATTCCAACTGTGCGCAGCTGGCTTTGCAAAAAGGGCATTGCTGCTCTTGGACATTTCGGCAGTTTGGGAAGTTTCCACGAAGGTAGGGTGAAAATTTTCTTGGGAAATTGAATGTCAACAACAGTTTTGACATCAATCTGGGCTTGCATCAGGGCTATGTATGGTGCTATGTATGGGGCTGTGTTTTGGAGAAAGAGACTCTATACGGTATACGTATAAATTGACAGAAACAGGCACTTAAACAGGCTAACGTTTGATATAACATATGACGGGATTCACAGGGCCCAAAAACAGCCTAATTACAAGCTCAAATGCACCTGGATATCATGGACATACATAGCATTTTCTTCGCTGGATGTGATGCAACGACACCTTGAACACAAAGGCAATCTATCCAAAACGTCTTCTCCAAATGATGGGCCGCGTCAACAAACAATAATAGCTTGTGATTCTTTTTCGAAATGGCTCGCAAACAGCGAAACCATCACGCGCTATCATCTTGAATGGGTCACAGGCAATTGCTTGTGCAGTCCCGATCTCAATGCCGTTGCTCCTGCGCAGGGAATGAATCTGCGCAAAGTCTCCCTTAATCAGCATGTCACAGCTTGCGGCTATCTATCTTTACCCCTGCTATGGTTGAAACTCATGTGTGTTCTGTCTTCGCTGTTCTCCCCAAAGAGCTGAGATCAAGGCATGTGCAAATCAACAAGGCACAATCAAATCCGAAGGCGCCCCAGGGAAACTTGATGAAACTTGTAGCTTGTCATGATGATCTTTGACCCTACATCTGCTGTCAACCTATTTCGCCACCATACCGATGTCCGTCTAAAAAATGCCAGGCACTGGGTAGTCGCTTCCTGCAATGCTGGCTGCGACTGTTTCGAACTTCTGCCTTTGACTCTGCACACTGAGCATGAAAACAATATCCAACCATATCTACCCTATATTCACCCATTTCAACAAATAGTTCTTTCAGTTCATGTCAGCTGTTTGAAGAATTTTGCCTCAAATCACACCTTCTGCACCTTTCCCAACATCTTTGAGCCCCCGAGCGTCCAAGGTGACATACTTCGGGCTGGTCATTCCGCAGTTCACGATGTATGGCCTTAGGATCCCAGCTGGGTGACTCGTAATACTCATCCAAGGAGTCAAGTTACAGTAGTAACTTGGAATCATCAACACCACTAAACTCAGATAAATATATGATATATGTAATATAATATGAGATGTATATATATATAATGTATATGATGAATATGATGGACTCCGAAAAATAGAATAACTATAACAATATATGATAACTACGATAACATGAAATCAATAGTTGAAAACCACCAAAGGCAGCATGTTTTTCCACCAGGTCCATCCAAATCCCAAGTCACATCGACCTGCCCATCTGTGTCACCCAGGCCGGTCGCTGCCAAAGAAACTTCCATCCCCCATGGGAGGCAGGAAAATGATGACATAGCAAAAGCCTGTTGCCATGGGGATCACCTGGATTAATAGTAACAATTGGTACAGGGAAATGATTACTGTATATACATATATATATATATATGTAGGTAATCTATGAGGTAATATATGGTAATATGTATGTATAATTATGTATATATAGACATTATCAGTTGTTTATGATATTTATGATTGTTCAATGACATTAGAGTGTAAGTATGTTTATGGATTTCCATATTTAATGAGGATACAATCGGGGATGCAATGGGGCAATACCCATAAATCATCTAGAAATGGGAATTGAATGGGGATTTAGTGGAGGCAAATTGCTGCAGGGCAAGCAATTATTGCATAGTTTGTGGTTCTCTTTTTCCATTAGTTTCAAACAGGACATTGATGGAAATTAAAGTAAATTATGTAGGTTAGTAAGGGGAAAGCACGAGAACAGATTAAGAAAGAGAGCGTTCGAGTTATGCAAATGAGGAAAAAACGTGCGATGAGATTTGATTCTTCTTGATTTACTGTGTGTAAAGATCTATGGGCTTTAAGTTTCATGGTTAGCTAACAGTGAAGTGTCTAAAGTAAATGACTTAGTGGTAAACTGCACTTGTCTTCTAAATGGTTCTAATCGCCTGTGTTTCCCAAAAGGTCCAAGAGTGTTCCAGGAAAGTCAGCAACCAAAGGTCACCAAGCCCAGAGCAAATCCAAAGTGAGAACCAAAGTTCTCCAAATACATCTTCAATACTGAGGATATTGATGGATATTGGCCCAAAAAAATCTGATTTCCATCCATGTCCCTTGTATAGAAACCCGCTATACTGACTAATTGATCACCGGAGTTTATTCATCTAGGGCTGATGTGAACAGCACTGGCTGTTCAACTAACTATCACCGTCGAATTGGTGGGATCGTTGTTGGGCAATGTCAAAAACATATAAAAATCTATATAAACGTTGTTCATGAATATATCCGAACTATTTGGCATAGCTAGCGTATACATGAAAATGTCTCGACCTGACGAACAGGACTCTACCAGGATTTGGAGGAAACCTCATCATCCTCACCATATTCAAGAGGTCATGCTCTGAATACTGGCATTTTGAACTCCGAAGAAAGAATCAAAAAGAGACAAAACATGAAATCCAATGTGAAACTACTGGGATTGTCACGAACATTCAAGAACCTTTCTTATTCTGTGGGTGCTCATCATGGCTCATTGTACATGGTGCCCCTGCCGAATCCACTGGCCCAGTACACCTGCCACCAAGGACGCCATGTGCGCAACCGTTCCCACTGTGTCTTTGCCAGAGCCGCAAACGCTTTGGACCTTGCTGCAACACGTTGGGTCAACTGGAGAGGCTGCACAAGTTTCATCGGTTAGGATGGGGTGGGTGGGGGGGGAAATAACGTCGGCTGTTTGCACTTGCGCACACACACACACTGCACTTGATGCTATGCTACACTTGCAGTGAGTTGGGGTTAAATTTCATGAAAACTTGCTCACCTTGCTCAGTGAAGCCGGGCAGTTCTAAGAAAAAGCCGCACTGCCAATTTGACAAGAAACAACAAGCTGTCAGGGCTGTCGTGGAAACATGTAGATGGCCACTCAGCGTTATACATTCAGTATCATTCATGCCAAAGGTTTGCATTCTATGGTGGATGCATTTATGCAATACATGCACAGTATGAGAGACAAATTAGCTTTCAAAATACGTGTGGCTGATTGCAAGCAAAATGGCTTACTTAAAGCGTACAAGTATGTAAAATTATCGACGACCTGATTCTCTATAGGCTATAGTATACGGCTATAGGGGTCATGTTCAACTTCCATTCTTTTGAAAATATGGCAGTTGCGATCACACCTGAAAACATGACAAAAGATGATAAGATTTGATGACATGACTTCACAGAAAACAAACAAGAAAATTGAGCACGGCGTCGTATGGGATACACATTTTCACAATGACAAGAGATCACCTTTGCAAAGCTGATGTCCCAACATGACGACATGAGTGACAAAACGCTCAGTGAAGTTCGGGCTACCCGGCTAACCCCTATAAACCCAACATGTTGCAACTGATTCCAGGCTGAGCCTCCCTGCGATATCGATAACAATGTGGAAAGCGATGATGCCAATACCTACCCGATGATTTGGGACTACTGCCATGCCAAGCTGCAACAGGCAGACATATGAAACTTTGGTTCTCTCAAACATGGAGAACGTGAAAAGATGCAGAACGGCCATTGCTTTCTGCTGGGCTTTCATGGCGGGTCGGGGCTCACGCATCCAGAAAAAAGCAACAAACTCGGGGATCCTCAACTTTTGATCCAACCTGGCCCGGTGACAGCACCACTGGCTCCCAGACTCTGAGAAAGTACCGGTCTATATTCGTATATACATACATACATACATACATACATACATACATACATAGATACATAGATACATAGATACATAGATACATAGATACATACATACATACATACATACATACATACATACATACATTACATACATTACATACATTACATACATTACATACATACATACATACATACATACATACATACATACATTACATACATTACATACATTACATACATTACATACATTACATACATTACATCCATTACATACATTACATACATTACATACATTACATACATTACATACATTACATACATTACATACATTACATACATTACATACATTACATACATTACATACATTACATACATTACATACATTACATACATTACATACATTACAGACATTACATACATTACATACATTACATACATTACATACATTACATTACATACATTACATACATTACATACATTACATACATTACATACATTACATACATTACATACATTACATACATTACATACATTACATACATTACATACATACATACATTAATTACATTACATTACATTACATTACATACATACATTACATACATACATACATACATACATACGTACGTACATACATACATACATACATAACATTACATTACATTACATTACATACATACATACATACATACATTACATACATACATACATACATATATGTATATATCACTTGCGAGGCACCACTTGTATCTCTCTGATTCATTTGTTATAATATTATTGTATACCCTCATTATTAATGATACTCATAATATAATATATATATATAATGGACATAATATATTCCATGTGTAATATATTTCCACCCTCATGATATACTGGTGTTGACCTCTTGGGTTGATTCCCTAGATTCAACCGCGTGTATTGTCCGCAGCACCAAGACATAGAAGTGCTGCGCATGGCCAAAAACTGCGTTCCCGAACCCTGCGCCCAGAAAGACGCCGTAGAGGGCAATCAGGGCGCCATCCACACCGAAGCAAACGGAACTGGCCTGTGGGCACCGGACCCAGTACTCTCTCCTTACAACGGACCCAAGTACCGCGTCTGACCGTCTGACTTATGATCTTCAGATGATCTTCAGAATCTATTATATGATGAATCTAGTCAAATCCACTCAAATCCAGTACAGTAAACTTTATTAAAATCTATTGTGGATCTTATGGTGCCTTATAATCTAATTGTGGACCTGGATGTCTGCAGTGCCAGAATGCCACAGGTCACCAGCTGTGCCGCATCCCGGTTCTGAGGTCCCATCTCCCTGAACTAAGGCTCCAAAGTTCTTGATGGTGCCAAGCCTCGTAGCTGCCGGCATGGCTCCATCCCTTCAGTGCGCTTGTCACTAGTTGGTTTTATCAGTTTCAACTACGATGGCGCTCATCATCCCCAATAAACCTGGGCAACCAATGTATAACTCCATAAAACTTAAAACCAATGAACCAGGCCATTTTGTTCATAGCTATCGTAAAATCAGCGATAAACCCCATGAAATCCACATTTCTTCTTGGTTAAATGACCCTTTTCCTATGGTATTTTCTGGATGCCGAAACGCTTCGGAGGATCTCCCGCTGAAAACGTCAAGGGACAGGGCTCCAAAAGCCAGGACAGTGGCCATGATACCAACCACCTCAGCGACTTGGCCATGATTATGAATGGATAATGGAATAATTGGACATTGAATACTATTGGAATATCATAATGGAATAATCATGACTGTTTGAGTTGGCAAATTTGAATTGGCAAATTTAGGATATGAATGGATTGGATATGATATATTCTACTGCAAGCTATAAGCTTATATACGCTTATCATTTATTTGGCTTATATATATATATGGGAAAAATATATTAATGGCATAATTTATTAGATTACAACCTTACTGACTACCTTGGCTGGCAACAATTCACACCTAGGTTGGCGATTGACTCTTTTGTGGTGCGGCATGAGCATAAGCATGTGTTAAGTGGTTGTCGCCGATCGCAGTTTGGTCTCTGAAGTTGTCACAGTCACAACATGTCACAACGTTGTCTTTTTTGGATCTAGACACTTGGCCAAGGATTGCCTAACAAGGCTTCTTTTCGATCGTATGTACAAGTGCCAAACCTACCAAACCTATCAAAGCCTAATCTTCATTGCCAACTTGACACTCCTTATGTCCTTGGGCCCCAGCGTTGTTCCAACCAATGCCAATGTCTGGGTAGCAAATGGAGGCCACTGGGCCATCCCTGGTGCATTTCAACGGCACCCCTGGACCTCGGAAAGTGCGGTCCAAGTGGGGCCGTGCTGATCATCCCAAGTGGAGTTCCGCAAGATTCTGAGGTTCCGAACTCATTTCCAGATCTGGAACACCTTCCAAATCCAAGGCGTCCATGAGGTGGAAGAGGTTTACGCAAAGGTGCTGGGCCGAGGCCGGGGACAGGGACAAGATGGGAAAATGTTGGAAAGCAGGCCGCAAAGCGAGCTGTCAGTGAAACTCTGAAAAACTTCTAACGACTTCAACACATGTGACTTCGATGGCCACAGGGAAGTTCATGTCACTGCACCCGACCCGTCTTCATTCCATTGAGACCTGGAGCCGGCCCTCACCTGCAAGTCACTGTGCAGCATGAAGTAGGTGAAGAAGCGCCTGGGTGGACGAACCCATGACCATGACCATCATCCAAAATCCTGGTTAATTTTGGTCAATATACTCAAACATCCTCCAACATGAAAATGTGGCATGGCGGCATGACATCACAACGAGGACAAGGATAATTGCTCTTGGTGAATGCAAAAGGGATGGAAATCTGCAGGCAGCGCCAGGAGTGATATCTCTATGGTTGTCTCCATGTCCCTGCTATTCCTTGCTATGTCAATGTCAATGTGTTGTGGGCACTAGGATGATTGGTGATGATTGGTGATGTCCAAACAGTACAACCCTACCAAAAGAATTAATTCACACATGAAAAGTTCGATCACTGCCAGAACTGTTTGGCATTCCTATTCCGAAAAACTGCGGAACCTACTTCCCATGATCTTCTCATTATGAATTTTGCTATATTTTGACATCGTTCATCCATTCCCATCACCAGAGGGGTGTGCAACTGGGTGCCCAGGCCAGAACTCACCCTTCTTCATGCAGGGTGCATAGAAAGAGAAGAAACGATCCAATCGCAGAAATGGTGCGAAGACTTGGCACAAATACCTCGAGTCGATGGCACGGTTTGATGGGATCCACAGCTGGTGTTGATGATGTTTGGGCCGTAGAAACATCGTCTTTAAGGGGTGTATGAATGTGTATGATGCAATTGATTGTGAGTGCTCCATCACGTTCCTCTCTCTGGGAGGATGATGCTGCATATATCATTATAAATAATATATATATATATGTATGAGTCAAGTCAAGTATACAGTAGAAATCAGTAGAAACTGCTTTAATAAAAATTGGAAGGACCTGGATCTTGCTGAGGCGCCCCAGGATGCACAGAGCCACAAAGATGGTCAGGGCGCGGTCTCCATCGCAAACCTCGTGCGACTCATGGCTTCAACCCGAGATGATCAGAACTGGTCGAAATTATATATATATATTATTATATTATATATATAATATGTGTGTATGGGTGAACTAGTTATTATGAATTTATGTTTATATTTATACCAAGAGGGGTTCGGTTTCTTGAAGAAATGAGAAGCCGCCATCCCAGAATTCAATTTTGAAGTCAGCTCGTGGCCAAGAATGCTCATTCCACTGCCCTCACTACTGTGCCCCCAAAAAAGCCTCCCTCTTGAACCTTGCCTCTAATCTAAGAAAGCGAATTTCAAGAAAGATCAACAAAGCTGTCTCCTATTGTCCTATTGCCACATGCATATACAATCATATACATATGCCATCATATGCCACATCACCACCTACACGAAAACCTGTGGCAAGTCAATGTAGCGAATATCTCCCAAAAACCTCCCGACAAAAAATCCTGATACCGTACCACGATGTACCACGCGGACGCCTGAAAGAAGGAATTGGGCCAATCCATGAAAGACCACAGCAATGGCAGCATCCAAAACATGGCCCGCTGACCTGTCATGCCATTGACAGACTGTACCAACGGGGGCCGTGCGACAAAAAGCCCGTTGGATTTCCAGAATTTGCTTCCCTCGGATGGCCTGTGTCCATACCCAAGGATCGCCCCTCACCGACAGGTGCGCAAGTCCAACACTTCTCACCATTCTTGGTCCTTGGAACAGGGTTGATCTGCAATTTGCTCCCGGAACACACCAGGTGGCTTGTCGATGATTCTTTGGGATACAGTTGGTATGGATATCTCAATGATACATGGTCCTGAGTTGAGCTTTTAGACTCAAAAAGAGGTTTAGTGGCAAGTTCTGATACTGTTTTAATTGTCCAGTGCTTCAGGCATCAATTTCCCCGCATACCCATACGTAGCCAGTGGCTCCGTTCGAATATGAACTGACCGTCTCCACTGCATCCAAGCGAACCTCATGACCCGCTTGGTGTCTGTGGGAGACTCGCACTTACAGCTCCTGGCCAGAAGTGTCGGATGGTAGAGGGTGAAGAAGCCAATCGTGTACCAGTATCATGATAAATTGATTTTCCCATCAGAAAAACCATGTTGGGGAGTTATCAGGATGTCGCACATTTTTGGTCAAGCCCATTTGAACTCATTAAACACCATAGTTTTCCAAAATTCCAATCAACAAGCTATGATAAGCATTGATAAGCTATTAGTTGATAGTGTCACCAATGTCCGCCCAAACTGCACAAATCAGCTCTCCTTTTCAGCGAGCAGCGGCCCATCTGAATGGGGCAATAGCCTGGTGGTTGCAGTGTTTATAACTCGTAACAACCATATTTAGTTTATATTTGCACCTATCAAAAACTTAGCAGCTAGTCTATCAGGAAACATCATAAAACCAAATTTCATCAAATCATGAGCGGGTCTATTCCAATAATTAATATCTTTATTGTCTATTCACATATCATCAAATTGTGACTTTTTTCCGACCTTCAGATGGTGCAGGACCAAACAAGTCTCCCTGCAACCATGATGCTGGAGTTCGTGTTGTCCGCCACGCCGGTGGAAGCACGTTTCCGTTCACAGGCCCAACCTAAGGCTGGGATTGGCAGCATCCACCAGTTCTGGTGAGTCATTGGGGATGATTTATTGGGAGCCACCGCAGGGAACACCCGCAAAAAAGCAGAACTCACTTGGATCGGATATATTGGCTGCACAATTAACAACTGAAAATGGTGCAACAAATCTGGGTCACCCCTTTGGTCAATTGTCAATATGGTGACAAGGTAGCAATGAAAAGCCATACGGCCACTAAAATGGTGGAGCTAGCCCTCAGTGCCCGATCCCAAAAGGAAACACGAAAGAACAGCTGTTGCATCCACTTGTGTCAAGAAACAGGCAGCAACAGGAACGCAATGGAGTGAACCTTGAACATACAGCTACATGGTCCGTACCTTGCACATGGGGCTTTTGCCCTCCAACCATATCCCACATATCCCACTGGGCGCTCCCCACATTTGGTGCCATCGCCTGTCATTAAAGTCTTCTTGGCCCATTCAAAATCCGGATCTCTTGACCTGACTGGGCGCTATGCCGTGGCTCCAGATGGAGGTTCCAAGAATTTCCCAGACTGATTGGCATATGGTGACCTAACGAATCAAAAGACTTGTGAAAAACTTAGGCCCTAAAAAAGCTCCAAATATCAAGCAAAATTATGCAAAATGTGTGGCATTGAATTGGCCACTGAAAATGCTGGCATTGTGCACATGTCATCACATGTCACATCCCTGGATTCTGGATTGCAGCCGTCAAACACGAGACGTCACTGTTGTCTCAAACTGCTCCAATTAGAAAGTTGCATTGAAGAAGTCAGCAACGCTAGGACCTGCTAGGCGACACCGTTGACCTGCTAATGGGCACTCATCTTTCTAAAGCTTGGAGCGACCCATTCCCTTCCAAGAAGCCCGAAAAGTCCAGATTCAACAGCAACAACGTCCAAAACCAGCAGCCAGCCCGAGGCAGCCAAGTCAATTCCCCCACGAAATTTGCAGGTCCTGACCTTGCTGGTGCCACACATCCTCTCCATTCTCTCCCCACTGAGATCCGGGGCGTGGCACACATGCAAGGCTCTGGGGTGCAAATACCCACCTGCACGCAATGCAGGTTGTGGGAAACAGTGTGGATTTACCAAGTTGGGGAAAAGTGGATCAGATTTGTGACTGACGTGGGATGTCAATGCGGGATGATCACCGCCCAGTTGCTAGTCAATCAAAAAAGATGATGCAGCTCGATTTAAGTTTTTCAGCATAGGAAATGTAGCAAGGCGAGATTTGTTCATCTCCGAGATGCTTAGGGAAGCCTGCCCTATCCTGCCCTCTGCCCCAGTATGTTCCTGGCAGCCTGCGTGGTGCAAATTGTGGGGTAGCACTTGCAAATCTTGATGTCCATCCTGGGCTGCCCACAGCTGAGATGGGGCACCCTGTGTCTATGTTGCGGACCTTCTGGGTGTGCTGCTAGCACCAAATATTTTGCAAATTTGCATCAAAATTCAGTCATCGAAGTTGCATGTAGGCTTATATCTTGCTTAGAAGTTGGATGAAGTTGGAAATATCTGAACAAATTCGAAAATGTCCTGGCCAACTCATCAATGACCTTCAAATAACTTAAGTCCCCCAGGTGCCCGGGCGGCATCGGATCACCGAAAAGAGCAGCACTACCTCAATGGCAGCAGCAACGAATATGAAGAAATACTGAGTCATAGAAGCAAACGGAAAGAAATCTGATTGTTTATGGTCTTCTTGGATCTCTTGCAAATCAGATTCCAACAAACTCCGAAAGCTTTTGAGGGACTGCCACGCACGTCACAGGCCGTTCGGCTAGGATGGCTGGGCCACCCCAGCAATTCACACTGCCATCCACGGCCACATCGCCAGACCATGAAAACAAGCCTTTGGTGAGGCCCGGTAGGTTTCTTTCTGACCTCTCGACTGTTTTTTTTCTGTTTGGCGAGGCTACACTTTTCAATCAAAAAATGGTCAACTTTCGAACTAGTCTACAGATTGCGTGGAAGTAATAGGCTGAACTTGATGACAACAAACTCCACTCTCCTGAATACCAAAAAAAACGCAATTAGTGCGGACGCTCTTTGGTATGCCAGGGGTGGCTCTGCAATTGGATTTACATGTCTTCCCTCCCTGGAATTCAAGCTTGAATCAACATGTGGTACAGCTGGCCACACTCCACGTTGAATAGAACTGTTTCTGACTGTTTCTGAGCTCTTCATTAAGCTATAGTTTCCAAATGCTCAACAAATCTCAGCCGGATTGTCTGAAAGTAGTATTAGTATTGTTCGTCCTTGACCCAATCTTTTACCGCCGCAAAATTGGGTAATTATCATGGCATCTCCCTTTTATGGACAAAACATGGGAAAAAAAACAAATCTCTTGTGGTGAATTTCTGGCTGGGTCACCCCTCCAAAAGTAGACCAATCATGTCTGCCTGAGCTCCTTGCGGCCGTATCGCACCTTTCCGAAGCACTTACAAAGGTCACCTGAGAATTCCAGGAGCACGCAGAGTCTTGGAGCAAGGAAATGAATGTACCGGGGGGTGCTCAAGTATAACTTGATACATTAAAATAACAAGAAAAACAACTGAATTAGACTTTGTATTTGATTCTGCTTGTGGCATCTGGGAAAGTTGAATCACTGGGCCTTGCCACCTATGAACAGAATCAAACGTGGTGACCTGACTCCAAGCCATCACCTACAAATTTCCATCCAACAGCGATATCCATCCTGTGGCAGTGCCACTGCTGGTAACACCTGAATAACACCTGAATACCTCAACAATCCAACTGATTTTGGGATGTTCGATTCCTCACACTACATTTCCATAATTTTAGTTAGCCTCTGGCTATTTAACATAGCCATGGGAAATGGCCCATTTATAGATGGTTTACCTATTAAAAATGGCGATTTTCCATGGCTATGTTAAATAACCAGAGGGTATATGGCCCACAGGTCCCCAATGCTCCACGTCGGACCGTCGGACCACAAAAAGAAAGGCACCTTCTTTGCCACAAAAACGGCCATCCTTCTCGTCCTCAGCGCAGCTTCGCAGCTTGAAGCCAGGCCAGGCTGTTGGCTTTTGGAGGGGCCAAATAAGATTGACATCCCTGCATAAAAAATTAAATCACACATGCGTTCACATATTATAATTATATATATTTATATATACATATCATCCACATATATATATATATGTATATACATATGATATGATATATATATATATATATATATATTAGTTTATATCTATGGGTTTGGATCCATGTTTCTTCCTCCTGAAACGGTCATGCTTGGCCATTATAAGCCATTCTCATGTACAATTCCTAAAGACCTTTAGATCAACTCCCATATGCAATGATGGTTGGGGCATATCTTCCGGCCTTTCCAATATCAGGATTTAGACCCATGCCCAGACGTCTAAGTGACTAAGTCGATTCACCTTGTTTGTTGGGTGGTTTCAACCCCCTGAAAACCACACACACACACACACATATATGTATATATTATATATAATATATATATATATATATTATATAAGAATACTATGTGGAACAATCACTTCATATCACTTCGATTTGGGTCATCCTCCCAAATATAGTTGATAAAACGTTGATCAGGAAACCATCATTAATTGAAACGGCCAAGCAGTTACGATATGGCACCTGCCGTTCACCAGCCATGACCTGCGGGTGATCACCCTGAGGCTTCGCGCCAATGACAAAAAAGCTGAGCTCGAGCTCACGAGTGACTGGCCTGCGTGCGAAACCACCGGTGACCGGTGTAATAAATGAAGTGCACTTAGTGAAGGGAAAACCATGATTGGGAACCCTCTCTAATTTTTTGAAACATACTATCATTTTCCAATGTAAAGTTTAAAGTGATTTTAACAGCATCTTGAGATATGTTTTATAAATGGTGGGCTCATAGGAGAGCAGCACAACCTGCAGGACCGCCTGGTGCTTCCTCTGCATACTCTATGTCTACTTCTTCGGCGTCTCCTGATGCGTCAAAAACCACCATGCATGATGTCAGTAGCGTGAGCAAAAGGGTGCATGGGCCCGGCGCTTAAGTTGAACAAGCCACATCAACAAGCCTGAAAGTGCACCCCCAACACACACACAGGTGCATACATATATATATATATATGAATGTGGATATAAATGCAAATGCAAATATATAATTATGGATAATTATGTATAAATCTAGGTTGATTTATGCAATCATCCCATCAGCCAATTTAATTGGCCGCTTATCCAGTGTTTGCAACCGGCCCAAACGTGCAATCGCTCAAAAGTTCAGCAACAACAAACAAATGAAATGGGCCTCTTGTCTTTCACATGTCTATAGCCTCAAACTATCCACTTTGTTGAGTCAGTTGAACATATTGAGGGCCTCATGGCTTATATCAGACTCTGGATTTTCCATATGTATATATACATATATTATATATATATGTATAATATTATATATTGTATATAGGTTCTTGAAGGAATATCGGAATATCTGCAAATCCTCCAACAGGGCCTGTTGGAACCCCTCCTGCGTCCACTTCCAGGGCAGCCCTCCGTTCAGACCGGCTGGGAAAATGTACCAGGATCGCCACCAACTGAGCGGACAGGTGGGTCCGGGCCTAGCCCATGACACCCTATATAGTATATAGATTGTTGGGTACCAATAGAGCTGCAAATTGTGCATGTTGTGCGCTAAAGCATCCTTAAATGTCCGAAGACAACCTCAGTTCGAAGGCTGGATGCTATGCTGGTGGAACAAAAGGACAAGCATCATGAGCCTGCACAACATTGTCAGGCCGAGTCAGGCCGGCATAATCCCCAAATATTTGATGATAAGCCAGATTTGCTACACATTTTAAGACGATATATGGACTTGTCTGAAACGCCCAAACGATCCAATGGTTAATCATCATTTTCGTACTTTAAAGTAGATCGTGGGTACATCCCATTTTCAACCACAGAAAAAAAAAACATATTGCTGGTTCATGTTGATATATCAAAATCCTCTGAATATCCCACTACTTCCAAATGTTTCGATATCCTATTATAGTTTGAATATCATCCATTAATATCCCATGACGCAATGAATACTACATTTCCTAGCATGTATACCCATCATATACCACATTCCCGTCCCTTAGTAGCAGTCGCTGAGCCCCGGGCCGCGGCACAGCCGGCCGCAAACAAAAGGCGGCCACTGGCGCTATGACGTCGACCTGGTATGCGAAAGGCCAAGTTTTCAGGTGACATCTGACCTCTCTGTACGTGAACGTATGTTGATGCATGCATTTGCGTGTATGTATATACCATACATGTACATCTACACACACACGCATATATATATATATATATAATTATGTATATGTATATATATATAATGCATACATATATAAATAATTATATATATATCATATACATAATTATACATATCTGTATGTCATACATGATAATATTTTACAATACCCTACGCCAAACCAACATCTGAATCCGGACCAGGCCTTTGGATGCCGTCATTTTGCCGACCGCGAAGCGTGCCGCGGCGGGACCGTCTTGTTTGGCCCAATAGGTTTGGGCTGTGTGGCCACGGAGGCAGCTTGACCATCCAGAACAAGTATAGCAGCCATGATCAATGGCCATTTCAGGAACCTAAATTGGAGGTACCTCCCATTTATGTGAGGCCTATGTAAGGGAATATCCCGACAAAATATGAAAACAGTTGCAACCATGTGAAACATGATGAAAACATGTGAAACAAATAGGATTTGATTGATTGATTTTCAACTGGCATCAGCTGGCGCTTGCATGCAACAGTCATGCACACGGAAGAACAAAAATATCACTCCACAGCCTTGGATTCAGGCTACAGCGGCCAAAGCAAAGCTATGACTCTTATGCTCTTCGGTCACGATCCCGATGCTTTGGTGTCTTCAAAAGAAAAGTTGGCCTAGCCACGGCCTCAAATTCTCAAGATCCTCAAATTCAGATTCAAGACTTGTTGAAGAACTGCATGTTGAATTTTGCAATATGTTGCAATATTGTTCATCATGCCAGCTTCTTAGCCTCTTCATGCCTCTACTGATACTGGATTTCTTGAGCCGCTGAAACATGCCGCAACCCTAATATTTTTCTTGCTTGTGGAATCGAATGGAACGGTTCGGAGTCTTTGAACCTGCTCGGCCATTGGCATTTGCTGCAATTGGATTTGATTGAATCTATATTTGCAAACATGTGCATATGATTGCATATGGCATATGAATCATATGAGCATCTGTGTGGGCCAAGCATAGGGTACAAATGGACCATTGGCAACAAGCAAATCGCCATTGAATTTCTGAGTCACATGGCCATGGCGGAAAATGATGCCCAGTGACTCAGGTAAAGAAACACGCAGCGGGCGTCATTTGCGACATGGCATGGAAACGATTTTGCCCATTTTTGTTTGCGTAATATTGCGGTTACTCATTGTCATTCACTATCCAATCATTGACAGTCTCCAGTCTCCACCATTAACCATTGGCTATATCATTCCACAATGAATCCAATTAATCATTGGCTATATCATGAATCCAGCATAATCTAACCACTTTTGCTTGGAGTCCCTTGTATACAAAGGGGATCAACGGCATCTCGTGATATCCATGGCGACCTGCTGCCTTCACGGGGACGGCTGAGTCTCGGCCTCACTGAGTCTCGTTGAGGCCTTGGCCATAGGACCGTTGATGATTGCAGCTGCTATCATTAAAATTAAAACCATATGATATTTCGATATATTACGTATATAGATGTATATAGTATATAATGCCAACATCGGATTAATCAACCCCCCCTGGTAGGTAGGGGGGTACCTTCTGGCTAGTTTCTTGACAACCCCTTAATAGTAAGCAACTCTGAACCATAAAAATTTGGATATGGCTTACGTCAATTAGATCTTAATAGAATTCTATTGGATTTGTTAAAATCTCATGGATCAGAAAGGTGGTTGATTAATCGGGGGCAAACCATGGTTATTATTAATGGGGGACATGGGCTCATGGGGGGTACCCTTTGGGAGCTATCCAAACTGATGATTTTTATAAAGATTTTTATTAGAAATCGATCATTTGGGGACCTGGGGAATAGTCATTTTTTGAATTTTTCAATGATCCACTTAAACCTTAAGTATAACAATGATGATTAAAAAAAAGGTAAAAACAAATTGGAAATAAATAGAATTGGAAATAAAAATTGTTGGATAAACAATTGATTTCAGCACTGGTGGCTTTTAATCGGGGGGGTTTATTAATCCTGGGGGACCACCTTTTTTTAAATTACATTTTTTTTGGGGGCAGAGGGGGTTGATTAATACCGCGGGGATTATTAATCCTAACTTGGCATTATATATATATAATTATATATATATATAGAGCCATAGTTTTGAACTCTTGCTGCTGAAGCAAACCTCCAAGCATCATTGACAGGAATTTACCAAGATCTTTGTGAGGTTGCCAACAAAAAATGTCTGTCTTACAGCCAGAGATTTTCCACACCTTCGGAGAGGGGTAGTGTAGTAGTCTGTATATTGTTCCAGAGCTACTCACCAGATTCTCCTAGGATGTCCTTTTGGTCTTTGCCACTGAAATAAACTGAAATCACCATTGAAATCACAAAGTGCTGTACGTTTCCACCAGGGTTATGTCATGTTTTCCTCTTGTTTCCACCAGCATTTGGAGTGGGGAACCCCCTGATGCAACCAGCACAAAGTCTACGAGCTGCCAGCTGATAGAGCCACACAGCGAAGAGGATGAAGCATCCCAACAAGCCCTGTGCGCCTAAGGTCTCCTTGGACAGGATAGGGAAAACTATGGAAAACTGGGTAGATAAACGTAAAAACTATATTATATGGAAAACCATGGAGAAAAAAAACTACGAAAAACTATGAAAACTATTGTAAAATCTATCTAGATATATCTAATCGTGTAGCTATAAGTTTGCCTATCATGGGTTGGAACAACCCAATGTAATCCATGATCCTGACTGAAGCTGATCTTGCACCAGGCACTGTCAACCTGATGTTTCTTCCAAGCTGGAGTTGGGGCACCTTCTTTTGACACACTGGTGCAGTATGGTGCGGTACCCGCATGCCAAACTATTGGTTGGGTATGGTTCGGAGGGGGAGGAGCCTTGATTCATGTCATGTATCTCTGCTTGATTCTCTTGACCTGCAAGGACGTGAGAAGTCTCATTCCAGCCAATCCAATCCAGCCATCATTTTTCACATGTACATCATGTACATTATAATCAAAATGCTGATGGCACCCATGGTTCAAGAACATTGAGTGCAATATGACCTGGATCCGCGTCCGGCCCGGTCAGCCGCAGCTGAGTTTCTCCCAGAAAGAGGTAGGCGAAAAAGGCTCCCCAAAGCCTTGATGGTGGGTGCTTCAAGGTGATCAGGAATATGTTCCACATTTGTTCCACAATGATCTTCCTGGTTAGGAAACGAGTTTGGAACATCTGGAGGCTTGCATGGCTTCGCCACAAAAAAACACCTTAAAAATTGAAGAGCCGTGACCAAATGGCATTGGTCAAGCTGACAGGGGCCATTGTTTCCCACAAAAATACCAGTGTCTTATAGGTGAACCTGTACGCATTGCATGTTCAAGGGCCGTCTCGTTTCAGTGGGTTAAAACAGTTGTGCCCGAGGCCATCACAGGGCCCAGGGCCTGAAAGACTCGTTGGAGCTAAGAGTCGGATCCAAGGCGTAGATTGCAGAGGCCGTGGTAGCAGGGATACTTTGCTGCCCGATCGTCTGCAACCAATTGGTGAAGGCTGTGGTCAACACTCCCAGGTAAACCACTGAGAGCCTTAGCACCGGCATAACTTCAGGTGAATTTGAGGTGTAGGTTTGTACAGCAATGTGCGAATTATGTTCTCCAACTATCCCGACCCCCAAATATTCACTTCTTCCACCAATTACATAATTTGGAAATTTTCTTGCCCCTCCCGCACTATCCCTGGAGGAAATCCTTTCCCTTCCTTCCTGAGTGATCCATGTGATATTACAATGTGATCTATCAGCTTTTCGGATTTCCATTTAACTTTCGTCTTTATCACTGAAAATAAGGGTTTCCAGTCATGTCCACTACCACGTGCCCAATTGAGTGCCACAGGAGATGCGGTTGCTCCTTCAAAAGCTCGAAGCATCTCCTTAGTCGTCAGGCATAATTGTCGGATGTTGTCATCTAAGACATAGGATCAAAACAGGTTCTTGGTCTCATCTGGTATTTACCTCGTTGCATTTACCTCCCAGGAGAATTGAATTCCACATATGGTTTTCGTATTTTTCCCAAATAGATCTGATGCACTTAATGAATCGTAATGACAAATACGTGGCTGCTTAGTTTTGGAAGACTTCGGACGCCCAGAAAAGATCAGAAAAGTGTGTCCTTCAAAAGTAGCAGCTACTTGTCAGCCACAATCTTGAACTTTGACACTTCAAAGGCAGCCAAATGGGCATGGATCAAAATGGGACACCTCACTTACTGTCGGCAACCTGTAACACCCAACTTGACCAAACAACCTGCGAAGTGGGTGCAAACTTTGACCCATGTTCAGTGGTGGCTGCATTGCCGCTGCGACAATCCATGAAGTCGAAGCGTAACTACACAAACGTCAACAGCGAAAGAACCTTAGGTGCAAAACTACCAAGTAAGCACAAAAAACATATTTTTTCAAAGACACCTATAATTAGACACTTAACATACACTTAACCCCTAACCAAAACAGAGAAACATGTTGTCTACATTTTTGTTCTCATGTTTACCAAGGAAATATACCAACTGCTCATGACCCTTCAGACATGTCCCTGGTGCCGCCCAAGCTCTGCACCGTGTTGGCCAGCGCAGACTCCGCCAGCACGTCCACGGGGCCGTTGAGCACATCGGAGCCCAAGGAGGATCCAGCCACCAGCAGGGCCCAAGGGAGGCACAACAGTGCCACCTATGGGTGGTGGGCCAAGGGTGGGGTTGGGCTTATGGTTGGTGGTTGATGTAGCCATGGGGCCAAATATGCTCGGGATGGGTCAAACAATTTGATTCATTTGGGTGGAATTTAAGTACCGTTGTGATTCTTTTGGGTGCTTGTGGAAAACATCATGGGATCGGTGTAACTGTGAGCTAAATGGTAGTTCCCACATCTGATGCAAGATCCTTTTTGATGGTTTTTCCTTATGCAAGTCAGCGCTCATGGAGCTTGGTCGGCAATTTTCCGTTCTCAGTTGCTACCGAACTAGCCAAATCGACAATACAATCAATATGTAATTATCATTTATTGTCCACGCATGTTGTATGTGCATATTATTTGTAATATATATATATATGTGTGTGTGTGTGTGTGAAGTGCGCGCATGCATCTGTGTATATATGGAGGTTGATCAAAACATAGTTGCCGGTGTGTTATTAGAAATGACCTTGCGCTTCCTTGCGCTCTTCAGTGTTTTTATTGTGTTCCATTGCATAGATTAAAATATGTATTTAAGAATTGATTGCCGCAGAAAGTTGCTAAATTCAAGGGGGTGTTCACTGATCCAGTACGCTGTGCACCGCAGACTTTTTTAGCCTTCGGAAGCAGAATCTGATGATTCGGAGCTCGAAATCTCAGAAGTTGAAGATTCTGAGGAGCTCTGCAGGTTCCGCTGCCATCTCTCTACCATACCTCTACCATACCTCTTGAAATTTGATTCCCGTAAAGCTGCTTTCTGGCTCGAAAGGGCCGTTTTGGGAATCAAATTTTCTATGTGTATGCACTCTGCTTCTACCATACCTCTTGAAATTTGATTCCCGTAAAGCTGCTTTCTGGCTCGAAAGGGCCGTTTTGGGAATCAATTTTTCTATGTGTATACATTCTCCTTCTACCATACCTCTTGAAATTTGATTTGGCGTGTTCCTTCGCCTTTCTGTACGTAACCACCAGCTGTTGAGCTGCTAAAATGTTACTTCAAAAGTCTTGTAGCGAGCCCTGTCCAACATGGCCAAACGACCTAAAGACAACCTTGCGCTTACCTTGCGCCAGACTTGAGTGTAAAACAAGCCTTGAAAAGAAGAAAAAAATGAAAAAAATAGTAGATCGATTTATCTCCCTGGGAAGACCTATAAAACAGTTCAAGATAACTGCAAGCGCTCATGGCGCTGCTGGTCAGATTGGCCTTCACGTCCCACATGGTTCCGTCTGTCCTGCCTACCAGCCCTGAGCCGCTACAGCAGCAGATGTTCACTGATACAGAAAAGAACAGCGATATTTATATATCTTGCGCCCGCCCTTGCGCTTTCTTGCGCCTCCCAGGCAAAACGCACTACAAATTTACAACAACATACTCCAATCATACGTTTGTATAAAACTCCTCTGCGGGGATTTTGATCGTCACTCATATATAAATATAGAATTATGATATCTTATTATGTGCTGGAAGTGTGCCAAACAATGCCAAACAAATTATCAACATGAACCGACATGCCACTTTTCTAACCTATCTGTGGCACCACGCTGAGGCTTGGGCGGAAAGGGTGCTGACAGCATTCACTGCTTTGGGATCCGTGGCGCAGGCGAAGGTTTCGAGCCGAAGGATGAACATGGCCTCGGGCTGGCTGAACTCTCCTGTTGGAGGATGGCAATCAATCCGAAATTTAAGGGGATGTTAAATGATTTATTGGTTTTAATATGAGTGTAATTTGGTTTATTGATGTTTGTATACCCAGTACCCTGGAGTAATTCAACAGGTTTGCCATGGACAATTTGACCCATGAAAGGCTATTTCCCATGGCAAACTGTTGGGTTACTAGAAGATAACATCCAAGGAAGCCACTCGAAGCAAATGGAGGGTCAGTTGCCATGTTTGGGATACTCTCAGATCGAAAACAATCACAATCCATAGACGGGTCGTTATTCATAAACTATTGCTACCGAATGGGTTTAACCCACTAAGAAAAATGTTATCTTTTCAGGGAGTTGTCCCCAACTCCCCAACGCTTGCGAGCTGGGTAACTTGCCGGGTTGGCAACCAAGAAAACGAAGAAAGGGCTGAGACCGCAAATCAGGGGGTCGGAAAGGAAAACAAGGATGGACCAATGGATGGATGGGAAAGTGACCCATGGCCGCTGCAAATAAGAAGGGTATGGGTTGACAACTGAGAGGATGGAATTGGTGGGTGGGAAGTTGGAGCAGTGGTTGGGAAACGTTACTGTCCCACCCCACCCCATCTGTAACAATTTGTACCGTACTAACTGATGATAGGCCGCCGATTATACCTACGCTTGTGATGTGGTGGCTCCAGTTTGGTCTTTTGCGAGTGTTTTTTTTTTGCATGTTCTTGGCGTTGCATGGCTTTGCATGTGGTTTTTTCTTTGCATTTCTCAATGACCTGTAGCTGTGGTAAAGCTGGAAAACGGGGGTGCTAAAAGACCGGCAAAGAAAGTGGAAAAAAACGCTCAAAAACCATCACAACTGCCAAGGCAAATGCAAAACAAATGCCAAAGAAGGTATCAAAAAGGCACCAAAATCACCATAAACCTACAATTTCAGGCTGTTCCTCGAACTTCAAGATCCAGCAACCAATGGTACAAATCGCAATCCAACTGCCCAAAAAAAAGTAGGACCACATACTTTACTCAACTCTAGAATCATCAAAAGGTCATCAATGCGCAAACAATGACAAAAGTACAGCAGTTCACAAGCAGAAATGCATAACAGAAATTACAAGCCCGATACATAACATGCTTCAAAAAAGCTTGCACAACTTGTACTGACAATTGCACTGCCAAACTAATCCCTTCCTCCTAATACTAAACGTCCCCCTAATACTAAAAACAGGCATCCATCTCCAATTTCCGAAAATTTCAGTTTGGCCAATTTGACTTTTAATTGATCCCCTTTAAAAAACAATTTAAAAATCAACCTACCATTTGTGGGTTCTCCCCCCTAATACTAAAAACTAGTTCACCCCGGGGTGTTTAGTATTAGGGGGGCCTAGTCCCAATCCCTCACTCCAAGCTGCCTGGCTACTCTAGCAATTAGGGGTAAGCTTCGAACTGCCATTTTTGGCAATATTTTAATTGCGTTATATAAGGAAATTTAATTGATTTTGAGATCGGAAAAAATAGTTTTTAGTATTAAGGGTTTTAATTTAGTATTAGGGGTAAGCTTCGAACTGCCATTTTTGGCAATATTTTAATTGCGTTATACTGCCTTCGATGCCATTTTTGGCAATATTTTCATTGCATTATATAAGGAAATTTAATTGATTTTGAGATCGGAAAAAATTGTTTTTAGTATTAAGGGTTTTAATTTAGTATTAGGGGTAAGCTTCGAACTGCCATTTTTGGCAATATTTTAATTGCGTTATATAAGGAAATTTAATTGATTTTGAGATCGGAAAAAATAGTTTTTAGTATTAAGGGTTTTAATTTAGTATTAGGGGTAAGCTTCGAACTGCCATTTTTGGCAATATTTTAATTGCGTTATATAAGGAAATTTAATTGATTTTGAGATCGGAAAAAATGGTTTTTATAATTAAGGGTTTTAATTTAGTATTAGGGGTAAGCTTCGAACTGCCATTTTTGGCAATATTTTGGTTCCCTAATAATAAATACCCCCCTAATACTAAAAACTACTTGCCGTGTTTTGTATTGGGGCGGGGGGTTTAGTATTAGGAGGAAGGGATTACAAGATCAACCAAGGGTATTGTTGTTCAAACTCCAGGCGCGAACAATAGCATGCCATGATGTCCCTTTTCTTTCTGAGGAACAGCAGTGTGAACTTATCCTAAGAACAATGGCTGGGAAGAGCATGCTCTTTTCTTGCTTTGGCTTCCTATCTCTCTACGAGCACTAAAAAATGGCAGCACGGGACCAGTCAGAAGCCAGTTTCACTGTAGGCCGTGTCAAGTGTTGCTGCACCAGCCATGATAACTTACAAGTCCGTCCGTAGGAGCCGAGCTACTTGTTGCTTGTGCCTATAGCTCTTCAAATGATTTGTGGGATTGTTTCCAAAGAAACTCTGCTTTATGAGCAGGAAAGGAGATACAAGATGCTACAAGACTTTTCAATCACCTCCAAGAGGGATTTCAAGGCTCTGTAGGTGATGTCGGCATCAATGTCATCCAGCTGCCTGGAAGAAAATGGTGCGAACTCCTGCGAACTTCTGTGCGCAGTTTTGAAATTAGCATGGAAAGGTCATTCAGGTTCATTCAGAAAGTACACCTTGATGTGCGATTCTCGGCAGCGCTCTGCTACAACACGTATATAAACATCTGGTGATTGTAAGAAGAAGGTATCGAAAGCATGCTTTAGGCACTTTTTCTCTTTGTCCAAGGTCCCAGTGCGCTCAACACCTACTGTGCCGGTTGTGGGATCGCTTCACTAAATCGCTTGAGTAAAGCTGGAAGTTTCTGTCCAAATCGTTGTTCAATGGCTTGTGTCAACTTGTCGGTGTCGGTGACCAAGTGGTCGTCGAATTTCTGGGCCTGTGGATCTCGGTTGGGGAACCCGGTAATGGTTCACCACTCCGACAGATTCGGTGATCGAAATGTGGTGAGTCACCACGGATGTCACCACTTCTCTGGGTCTCAGCGCATGGGTCGTAGTGCGCTTTGTGGTTTTCGGGTCGAAGTCCTCGAGCCAATGCCACCAGGCGTCGTAGGCCACGTGGACGTTGTAGACGTACTTCGGCAAGGCCTCCATGGTGTCCGGTTGCCCCAACCGCTCCTGGAGATGCGCCTCACGCCATGGGGAAGAAATCTCCAAACTGCCAGTGGGAGCAAGAGCGAAGTGAAATCGTTTGAAAGAAATGCTCCGAAATTCCTCTGGATTTTTGTTTTGAGATCTTGCGATGGCATCCCAACCTGTCCTCAGATAATCTTGTGGAATCTTGCCATCTGGAAAGATGTTGCCACTGTTCAGGCGGAAATACTCGTCGAAGTCGAAGGAGGGGATGACCCAAGTGGCGTGGCTCTTGGCCCGATACAGGCAATCCCGAATCACCCAATCAAAATGCCAACCGCACATGTCCAGGGTTTTATCTCGTGGATACTGCGGCACATCAAAATGGATCCTTGTGGCCAAGCCAGCTTTCAGGTAGGGCATCAGGACTTCCTTGACAGCATCCTCGGTTCCCTTGAAGGTATTGACAAAAAAGTGATCGATCCCATGCAAAAGAGAAAATTCGAGCCACTCCACCATCTGTTTCACCGTCCTCCCATAATTTTCGGGTGCGGAACTTGAGACATAAGCATCGCGGGCACAGGCGGCTGAGTGATACTGCTTCACCATGCCAGGTTTGCTTCTCGTCCGAACCCGTCCAATGTTGCGTCCATGACATAACAGTTCACAAAAAGAAATGCAATTCGATGTGGGAAAGGATGATCAGGCTGGAACCTAGCAAGTCTACGCAACACTGACCTTGCCATCTCTCTCCATCGCTTTCTCACGGAGTTCACACCAACGACCCTATGAATTTCATTGAATTTCCAAATATTATGTAAACGGCACTGTTTATACCAGTAGTACCGCACAAGGCGGTGGCGGAAGTTTCAGAATAGGAAACCTATAGGAGACGTTCGTTGTTGTGAATCACGGATGGCAGAGCGAATCCACTGATTGACCGAAAGGTAGTTGGAGTTGTGTTTGCTGGAATGGTTGCAATGGTTGCAGTGGTCACCTCACCCACAACTGCTGGATGTAGTGTGATGTACTGCAACTGTAGTTGTAGTTGTAGCGTGGTGGAGTTGTAGTTGTGGTGTAATGTAATTAGTGTAGTGTAGTTGCAGTCATATAGTTGTAACTAGTTGTTTTGTAGTTGTAGTTGTAGTTGTAGTTGTAGTTGTAGTTGTTGTTGTAGTTGTTGTTGTAGTTGTTGTTGTAGTTGTTGTTGTAGTTGTTGTTGTTGTTGTTGTAGCTGTAGTTGTTGTGTGGTTGTAGTTGTTGTGTAGTGTAGTAGTAGTAGTAGTACTAGTAGTACTAGTAGTACTAGTAGTACTAGTAGTACTAGTAGTAGTAGTAGTTGTTGTTGTTGTAGTTGTTGTAGTTGTAGTTGTTGTAGTTGTTGTGGTTGGTGTTGGTGTTGGTGTTGTTGTTGTTGTTCTCGTTCTTGTTGTTGTTGTTGTTGCTGCTGCTGTTGCTGTTGCTGTTGTCGTCGAAGTTAGGGTAGTTAAGTTAGTGAAGTTAGTTAAGTTAGTCAAGTTAGTTAAGTTAATCAGTGTCTACTTTTTCGACATCTTCACGTCAAAAAAGGCTCAAAACCATCAGTTTTTTACACTTTTGACTTCGAAATGTGCTTCGCGCCACAACGGCGTGCACTTTTTCGACACTTTTTCGACATCTGAACCTCCAAAAGTGGTCCAAGACCGTCAGTTTTTAACACTTTTGACTTGGAAATGTGCTTCGCGCCACAACGGCGTGCACTTTTTCGACATCTCAACTTCCAAAAGTGGTCCGAGACCGCCAGTTTTTAACACTTTTTGACTTCGAAATGTGCTTCGCGCCACCACGGCGTGCAATTTTTCATCGCTCCTGTGGCCAGCTGGCTCCGCACCCGCCGCTTTAGCGAGCCTACTTTTCGACCCTTCGGAGCCACAAATCATTGGAAAAACACAGTGTTTCGCGACTTTCCTACCTTTTCGCGCATCTGTATCTTCTTTCTTCTGACTCTTTCTCTTCTACTCTTCTCTCTTCTAATCTTTCTCTTCTCTCTGCATCTTCCCTGCTCTGCTTTTCATCTGTCCATATTGTCGGAAGTTTGACTTCTAAACTTCCTTCGATAATATATTACTGTATAATATAAATCTCCATCACATCAGTAGTAGCCTTTTTACAATCCAATGCTTTTTAATCACTGACGTACCTAAATGTCTATCGGTCAAAACCTATTATTTATACCAATAGTCTATATACCATATATTTGGGGGGGTGATCATCCGTAAATCGCTATTTTGATGAACCAAGGGATTCGGTGGGTCATGTTTCTTGGCTAAGGCGCCGATGCCGCCGCAGCCATCAAACTCAAGAGATCTCCCACGTTTGGTGGGACGCCTGCCTGAGATGAAGTCATGGGATTGTTCATTACTGGTATTGATTAAGGATGATTGAGGATAGTAAGGATTCTCAAGGGTAAACAAAGATTGCTGTTAATTAATGTTAATTATAGCCATCCCATAAATATATAAGAGTAAAATCCTCGTGAAATAGTGATGGTCTCCCTTGCTATATTTGTTTGAGATCACCATACTGATATTGATCATTTTCGGATCATGAACTCCTGAATATATATATATATAATCATACAATTTCCAATTGGCTGGCTATAAAGGATTGTTTAATGATTCTAATTAGTGGAATCTTAACGGCATGTCAATAGGACTTTAGCGGCGTTTTAATGGCACTTCAATCCGATGTAAATGGGATATATGACACACATCAACAATATAAGCAAAGTGGGAGTTGATCACAAATAACAACGGAGAATGAAAGGTAACTACTTGGTGATGTTTGATAGGATATAACCAACCAACTTGCTATGATATTTGGGTGAATCTGGGAATTGGGTCTGCCTTGAGGCATGAACCATGGAATTTTGGGGCCCTATTTTGAAACAAACGCATAGACTTGAGAGGAAATAACGTTCACGCTCATGGCTTTCTGGCGAAAAATGAATTCAGCCTTTCTTCTATGAAACAACTTGGCCCCAGGAGTCATAAAGAAGCTTACACGGATTTGATTGGCCTAAGCCCACATCCACAATCTAGTCTGCTGGATTTGAATAGAAAGTGAATGTAGAAAAACCCTGGTCCAGGACAATAGTTTCATGCTCTTTCATTCTAAACTTTCATTGCCCAATCTGTTGGTTTTCTCTACACATACTCCTCGCAGAAATCCAACCTCAACAGCGGAGATCATTCCTCATTTCGAGAAAAACACATCAGCTCCACTGAGCTTCAACATAGCCATACATCATACATATATATCATGGCATGCCAAAGGAAAAAACGATATCATTCAACACTATTCCTATAGAAAATATATATCGCCTATATATATATGTCACATATACAGTATATACAGTATATACAGTATATATATAATAGTATATACTATATTATATAACTATAATATATATATATGTATAATATATATTCAACGACTGCAGGGCTACCCCGTTTTCCAACCGGGTCACCTGGTCATCGAGGGCCACCAAGGTGGTGCCCAAGAAGGCAGCCACAGCAGAGAGCCAAGCACTCAATGGCACCTGCCACCGGGGGGTTCACCGTTCACCGTTCACCGAATCAAGATATACCCTCTGGTAAACTAACATAACTATGGAAAATCACCATTTTCAATGGGAAAATCCACTATAAATGGTCATTGTCAATAGCTATGTTAAATTACCAGAGGGTACTGTATATGGATATATCTGATCAAATAAACTATAGCTATATCTATAAGTTATGATGATCAAGTATGATGAAGGACATATCTGGCCAACTAATATACAATTATGATGGATTATGATGATCATGATAGCAATTCCTTCCTTGTAATTTGGGTAAATATATGGCCATGATGGCCAATGCAAAACATGAATGAATCAATGGCCATGAGTCAAAACATGACTAATTATAGAGACCCTATAGTGAAGCCCAAAATACACATGGATTCAGCAACAATAATTAGGATTCATATGGCCATGAGTCAAAACATGTCAGAACCCTAGTGCCTAGTGAAGCCGAAAATATGTTTGCCTGATACATATCAAAGGATGTGCATCCCTCAAAATATGGTAATATAAGTTTTGACACATCCCCATATCCCAAACATGGCTTGCTCAAAAATCCCCTATACATGAGGTTTGAACGGGAAAATAATATATATATATATAGTTATTGTGATGGATAATCAATTGCCATCTTTGATTACAGGAGGGTATATAGTATATGGGGATATTACCCAGCAATCTTACATGGGCACCATAAATTTTGGTTGGGGTGATAAATCGAGCCGATGATAAATGGACGAACTGCGAGAATGGACATCCTTGTGTCATCGTCGTTTCATGTTACTGGGAAGTTTCCACTGACCAGCAAGAGAAAAAACGCAGACCTTAACTTAATTGCTAAAGGAGGCTTGGCAATGTGAATGGAAACCAAGCAACAAGTCAAGAATCAATGTGCATGCCCTTGTCACCCGTCCAGGGCACACATGGAACTGTTGCAGCAAAGTTGCCTTCCGCCCAAAAATGGAAAACGCAAAGAAAGGCACCAGTTTCACGTTCCTCAAGTCAAGTCAGTGCATGGAAGGTGTTCAAAGGCTAAACTATGATGATGTTGTGGAACATGCTTGCCTCACCAGCAACAGGATTCTTGGCGACTGTGACATGTTGGCATTGTGTCAGGCAGTTGTTTGATAAGCCAACGTACCCTTAACTCAACATACTCAAACGCCTGGACCTGGAGTCTATTGTTATTATGTGATCACCCTGACGATTACGTTTGGGGGCAACCACCTTATTTCTTTTACCAGCACATGGAAGCTCGCCCACCCAGGTTGCCTCCTGACCTGATACGGGTTTGTCTGCAAACATGGTACCCATAAATTTGTGGTTTATCATGTTTATCATTCTCTCCTCTAGTAAAATTATCATTTAAGGGGTTATGCTTGTCAACCACCCAAATAACTCCATGCTGTCTTGAACTTGACTTAATTACCACAAATCTTAAAATGGAAAGTCTGCCAAGATTTGTCAAGTATCAAGTACAGCAAGAGCCCGCTCCGCTGGGCTGTAGTGTACAAAAGCCCCAGTGCTTGCAAACCTCATGAGCATGTGGCATTTTTCTGACAGTTCAGCAGAACGTCACTCTGGAGCATTCGACATGTAAGCACGGGCTCCAACCGTTTTGGAATCCACCAAATCCCCCTATCAACAAGTCACCTGGCAGGTCTGGCCTTAAGTGAATAAATAGATTCAAAAATACGCGTATTAATAAATAAATATCTACCTAAACAAAATTAAGTAATTATCGCTACTATAGGCTATCGATTCTATACGGTGTAAGTGTGCAAAAAACAACATCAACATCTACATACATGAGATTTAGATGATCATATATTGTTCACATCTATCCCAGCACCATCACCATCCAGCAGTTCGCTTTTTTTCCGCTTAACCGCGGGAACTCCATCCATTCTCGACCTCCTCTCGAGCCCATTGCAACATCTCAGCATGTTGGATCCCTCCCACCAACAGGTTCGTGGCCTGGTGATGCAAAAGGGGCCACTCTTGGCTGTGTGCATCTCTATGTATAATCTATAAAGGATTTCTGTATCTATAAGTATATATGTACACCATTAAAAAATACCCACACATACAACATATATATATATATAAAATTATATACACACCATGTATAATATATATACATATACATATTTATATAACATTACGGCAGGACCCCATGGTTTGCCCGCAAGTACGCAAGGTTAGAATGGACTTCAAATATCAACCTTCGACGCATTGCCAGTGTTTTGGTATTTACCAAACGACGAACCCTAAACCCTAAAACCCTAAACGCTAAAACCCTAAAACCCTGAAATCCCTAAAACCCTAAAGCCCTAAACCCTAAAACCTGAAAACTCTAAATCCGAAAGCAGAAAACAGTGCGTATACGCAGTATTTTCTGCAATTTCTCTTCTCATGTTCGACGACAGGGAATCCTCAATGTTGCAGTCCGGGCAAACCACGAGGTCTGTGCGTAACATTATATCTCGTACATCTATACATTTACTATATTTACTACTGTATATCTATCTATATCTACTATATCCAATCTATATAACATGACAAATATCCAATACATCTACAATAATAAGTCTAATATATATATATATATACATACTACTGTACATATATATATATATGTACTAGTAGGATCTAGTAGGTCCAAAGAACTAAATTTGTGTAAAACCCAATGATTGAGAGCATCCATTCACGTAATATACATGTTAAAAAATAAAAATAAAAATAAAATAAATGTACACATATAACATGCACGGGAAAAATGAATAAAGGAATCTAACACAGAACAATATAGACATCCTTGAAACTGTTGTTATAGACTGACATTGGTTTGGACTACAAGGCCAAACCTTGCAAACTTAGCTGCGTTTCAGATGTTTGTTGGTTGCCGCGTCGTGTGATGATACCAACCCTGGCCATCCCTGGCCTACCTTCATTTCTAATGATTTCCTACTAGAATGGCCATCTTAGGGTACCCGGGTATCCCCTGGAATCAACACATGCCACAGCGACGAAAGGCTTGCCCCATCGAAGTCGCAACTGCTGGATGTACTGCGACATGGTGGAACACCTGCGGCTGGTATGAGCTGGTTAACCCTCAAACAACTTCCACAAAGGCGTCAGTATGGGTAATGTTGAGGCTCTTGTGGGCAGTTATGATAGATTCGATAGATGGTTGCTGTTTCTAAGCGTGAACAGCTTGAGGGATATACGTGATACACAGCAAATTAGAACATGATGGTTTATATATATATATAAAGAAAACATATAGAAAAACACACACACACACATAATCGCGCGTGGATGATCTGACGTACACTCCCGGTTTATCTGAGACATGTTCATCTGATGGGTTCTGACTGCAGTTGATGGGGCAAATTGGATTACACACCCTGCAGCCATGGAACACGTTGCCGATGAAATAATCAGCCCATGAGCAAATGATGGCATCCACCAGAACTGATTGAAGAGCCATAGTGCACTCTTCCTGGGTGATGCAGGATGTGGTTTTGTCATGGACAGGGCCCTTGACAGGGACTCATCTTGGAAGATGGCCACCGCTAGATCTTGCTTGGTTGTGAGTTGTGAAGTGCTGCAGCCGCACCTGACTGACTGCTGAGGTCTTGCATCAATATGAAGTGAGACTATGTGCTACTACAAGCTTGAGACAGTAACATGCTCTCTGGAACTCAGGGTTGGTGACCATGCAATATAATGGACTCTGTCGCCAACCACAACATCGGGGGAAAAGCAGAAATATATGAGTACCAGCTCCGAAATTCTGTCAAAACCAGTCAAATCTTGTTCAATTCTGTTCCATAATCATTCCATATGGGTTTGTCTGATCATTGGGCACCCCCAAACTGGATGGTTTATCATCATGTTGGCTACATAAAACTCAAAATAACAAATTTGGTGGTGTTCCCCATTCTCAACCACACCAAGGTTCCACCGATACGGCTTGGTCGTAATGATGAGGTCGGTAGGGGTTGGCACGCGGCCCCGGAAAGCCACTCATATATTGAATCAGACGACGTTCATCCTCAGTGAAGACTCGCTGATCAGTGGAGAACTTGGGGCAGCCGGTCTTGAGGTTGAAGGATGTTGACAGAGATTCCGAGAAATGTGGACACGAGGGGACACGAGAGTAGGCCACCTATTGGGGACAATCTATACCACGCAATCTAATTCTGGATATTTTGGTAAATTTAAGATTATGGTTTATGGTTTATGATTCAGTACCCACATTATTCCGCAGCAATTGGTGGTCCACCCGCAACCACTTGGCACATTGGACGTATCCCCACTAGAGTCCCCGAGGCAACTCACAACTTAAGACAGTTTAAGTGTATCATGTATTATATAGGTCTGGGTCACACTGGGTACCCCAAACTATGTAACTATTAAGTGGGATGGCCTAGAGTCTAGTGAGTCTAGTGCTAAAAAAGCCCAACATTATCCAACATCATCCAACATCATCGAATCTGGGTAAATTATAATATTTCACAAACCTGAATTAAGGCCATTTTGGGATGATTCCCCTTACTAACTATGATTCCAGTGAGGTCGCAGTGAAGTCGTTATAATTTACCCACATCGAATATCATCCAACATCATCATCGAATATCTAGATGACTGCAGCTTGGCCTCTGCTTCATTGGTGGCCATCCAGGTCTTGCTGGGCCAAAAGCCTAAGAAGCTCCGAGCCAAAGCCCAGGAGGCGATGAAGAAGAAGACCTCCGGCCTTTCCGGGATTCCCAGGGACATGTTACGACAACTGGTGTAGGGAATGGGGGAATAACATGGAATAACTGATTATTAATTGGTTATTCTGGATCATTATATTAATGTTACTTATCCAGAATAACTTATTAATTATTAATCATAAGCCATAATAATCCCAGCAACCCCGATTCCCGATTGTGAGAGCCACTCAGTTTAGGGGGTGGTTTCCAGTTGGAAGTTCCAAGCATGGAACATGAATGCAAAGGACCCCCACGACATTTTGATGCTCTTGTTGATGGCATGAACTATAACCCGTAAAAAGTATGCGAATGCATTGCTTTAAAGTATTGATGCTGGGTGAATCACAGGATGTGCCCCTGAAATTTAGACTGTTCTACAATGTTGTACTGTCCGAGAACCGGTGAACGAACTTTTGCGGAACACATTCACAGGGAATAATGTGGAAAAGCCATGCAAAGCCAATAATAAACCACCTCCAAAATAACGATAAAGGAATAAACGAGTGGTATAAACCATCCCCAAATGATGGTAGGTTCATTATTATTGAGTTTACCCTACAGCACCACATAACCCATATTTGTAATGAACCATCCCCATATTTGTACACGTTTCACTTGAATCGACCCTACCATCCTGGCTGACGCCTGGGACTTCTTCACAAACTTGAACGATCGATCTAAGGAATCCGGCCAGCCCATGTTCAAACTATAACGAATATGTATAGCCTGTATAGCACACATGGCATACACACATCTGTATATATATATATATTATATATGTATCACACACACATAACTGTATATATGCATATACCTATGCATAGGAGATTGCAGGAGAAATTTGTTGTTCATCAAACAAAGTCCAATTAGGCATATGGAAACCTGTCCCTTCCACAAGATCTGACGCAACCCAGCAGCTCGAAATTGCAAAGGGATTCCTGGCCCCCCGCGCGAAGCAGGAATACACAGCACTTTGTCACAATACTTGATGAACAGGAAACATCAACTGCAGGAAGGAGTGAAAGGTATATAAGGTGTAAAACATATTTTAGAAATATACGAAGTCCATGTACAAATCTCAGTCGCAATAGGAGGAAGAACTGCCACTGTTAGCACCGAACCTTGCTAGCAACCCTTGAATCACTTGACCGCTGGTGGCGATGATCTATGATAATTCACCATCAACTTGGGACATTGTCATTACCCACTCTGACGCCCGGTTCTACGGTGGTATCACAGGTGGTGGCATAAAGGGCATCCTTATAACCATGCGCGTGAACAAGGGTAGATAAACAGGTACATTTACCCCATGGATGGGCCACTACCTTTGTGTGTGTCACACTTCATGTGTGATCCCTCCATTTCACTGCTATTTTATGCTATTTTGTCATGGTTTATCCGATAAAGTGAAGCCAACCCAGTGGGTTGGCTACTCTGCCAACAAACCCGGTTCCAACGGAAAATCCCAGTCCCCCAACTCACCGGTCCGTGAGTTCTTGATGCTCAACCAGCATGTAGCCACCTGCCAAGAAGACACCGAAAAAGTAGCTCTGCAATTGCAATTTCCAGCAGGAAAATCATCCACTTGTAGGGTACTATAGGGGACTCATGATTATCGCTATGTGGAAGTTGAAAAGTACGGCGGCAGGGATTGGTTGCAACATGTTGGGTCTACCGGGGGGGTTTGCCCGGAATTTTAACATGTGGGGTGGGGTGGGGTGGGGTGGGGTGTGTCAACGTTGGTGTTCATGTGTACACATGGTACGCTGCTGGTGTGTTGATGTGTACACATGGTACGTGGGGGGGGGGGGGGTGGGGTGGGGTGTGTCAACGTTGGTGTTCATGTGTACACATGGTACGCTGCTGGTGTGTTGATGTGTACACATGGTACGCTGCTGGTGTGTTGATGTGTACACATGGTGCGCTGCTGGTGTTTTCATGTGTACACATGGTACGCTGCTGGTGTGTTGATGTGTACACATGGTACGTGGGGTGGGGTGGGGTGTGTCAACGTTGGTGTTCATGTGTACAAATGGTACGCTGCTGGTGTGTTGATGTGTACACATGGTACGCTGCTGGTGTGTTCATGTGTACACATGGTGCGCTGCTGGTGTGTTCATGTGTACACATGGTACGCTGCTGGTGTGTTCATGTGTGCACATGGTACGCTGCTGGTGTGTCATGTGCAAACGTATCACGCAATCGCAGTGTCATGTTTGATTGTCCATCGTTTCCTCATCTTGATTGGGTTCAATGTATTTCTTCTTGCCATGTGTCTCCTTTCTGTCTGACTCTTTCTGTTTACTTCTGGTGTATGTGATATATATATATATGTATGTATACTTCATGTCTGTCTATATATGTATGCAAATCGTGTCAAATGGAAACGCTGTAAATTACAGGTGATTGTTGATTTTTCCGCCAGATTTGGCGAAAAAAACTCAAGTTTGGACATTGTCAAAACATTCAATGATCAATTGCATCTGAAAAAAAAGATATGAAGTCTACTTGTGAACAACCACATTTTATATGAAAAAAACACAGTAAAATCAACACCATGACTACAAGAACAACAAACGGCTTCGGATAATCATCACATGTAGTCACAGTCGACCTTGTTCCAAGCCGGGCAAACCCCCCCGGCGGAGCCAACATGTTGCAACACGGTGTGCTTCTGGGGCACCGGATGTTTGGGTACTTGGCTTGAACAATCGCAGGTGGATTCCCAGAACTTTGGGCGTCTCATTCTTCTCGGCTACGGGGAGCAGCCCCAAAGACGCTGCGACGCTCCTGGCCAAGTCCATCGTAGAATTGCTCGGCATAAAGCCTTGGCACAAGGCGTCCGATTCTAGGTTGACCCCTGCAGAGCAATCCATAGGCCATAGTGTTTCACAAAGGTAAGCATGAACCATTTTGGGGATTGGTTCCAATTTCGTGCGATGACATTGTCATGATCTACTCAAAAGATGTACGTAGACGCTTGCAGATTGTTGGAAGATGTTGGAAGATGACCACCGTTTTAAGGGGGTGGGACGTACCCAAAATGTAAGCTACATGTTTCAAGGTGTTTTTGAGGGGGGCCTTGAACATGTAAGCTTACATGTTGAAAGTATTTTTGAGACCCTCCCCACAAAATCAACACCTTGGGGACGTTCAGCGACCAATTTTACATTTAAGGGTGGGGGTCCCAAACGGTGTATCTTATGTATTTTTATGTATCTTAAGTATCTTACATTTTGGTATGGTCCCCCCCAGAAAAGTAACCTTAAAGGGGTGGTGATATTGGAAGATGTTGGAGGGTTGATCCACTCGTGACTCCGAGCAACAGGTTGCCACGTCCCCCTGAGTGACGTTCCTGGCAATGAGCCCATGCGTGCGGATGGTTTGGGCCTCCGCCACTCCCTCCTTCCTTAGCGACTCAGCATGGGGAGACAGCTGGGCGTAGCTTCGCCGCGCAAGCAAGCGACATGCGAATCCGCACAATTGCGTCATGGATGTGAATATATAAATATCTAAGAAATATCTATCCAAATATCTAAGTAAATGGCATGTTCGAGACTTTCAATCAAAATGAACATCTCTCAGCCAGCTCCTGCTTTATAAACCACCACGTTCCCAGGTGAGTTAAGAGCTCCAAGTCTCAGGAATGCTGCAAGCATATGCCCCAGGCGTTCCTCCAGTTTCAATTTGGTTTCTTTTTCCTTGGCGACACAGAGTGGTGACTTGGAAAGGGCCTCTCCGTCATACCAAATCACCCAAGAGTAAACTAAACTAAACGTTGCTGAAAACCAACTGCAATTTACACTGTACTCCTTGCACTTTTCATCTCCAATCCTTCTTCCGGTATCTTCGGGGGAATGCTTTCTTGCCATTTGCGGTGCGCGAAAGAATCCCCGTCTGGCTGCAGCGAGCAAAGCTCTCGAGTTATAGCACAAACATGTACAAAAGTTGGGGGGAATGTGCATCCAAACAATTTCACAATCCCAAGCTTGAAAACATCATGTCAAACATCCACATCCTCCAAAGACACCAAGGCTCTGACGTCTTGGAGCTGAAAACCTGCACCCCTGCCGCTTCCCGCGGCGCCCGCGGCCTGTATGGCCTGTTGGGCGGCCAGGCCCAACGCATCTCGGGGCGGGTGCCGTTGATCCAAGGAGCCTTGCTCTTGCTGCGCATCCACAGGGTCTCGAAAGGTACCGTGATGTGTTGATCCAAGACTTCAGAACCACACACCTCAGGGCGGCTTCATGGAAATTTCAGATTAACACTGTAGTCTCCATTAAAAAAACATTAGGACTTCTATACATGTTTTCAGAATATCGCCAAATGAGCAACCTGGGCGATTCTGCACACATCATGTTTGAACATGGATTTTTGCATCTACTTGGAGATATAGCCTTCACCGTCAAGGCCATTTCAAACAGATTGTTCCATTAAAAACACATTTCCACTTACAACTACCATCAAGCAATTGCGAAACTGATCGGAAAGCCTCCCAAAATTCACAAACATTACCTTCCGGTAATCCAAAAGAAAGGAACATCCACCATTATAGATATTGAATTATATATTATATCTATATATGATATATCATAAATATAAATATAAATACATATTATATATATATAGTATGCGATATATCTATACGATATCTATATATGATTTTTCCATTTCAATAGCCATTTAGTTCCAGGATTTCCCATCTTTGGCCGAACCTCCAGTAACTCCTCCAGCTCCACCACCCGGCCGTAGCAACTGCGCACGCTGCTGACGTCGAAGAGGTCCCGGAAAGGCACCCACTGGAGACCGTCGTAGGCCTAAAAAACCAATGGGGGCACTTTTTGGACTATAGATATGTGATTATATGCGTATAATCTGGTGATACATACATATAGGTGTATATATATATATAATAACAATAATAATCAGACTATTATATATAATGACACAAATGACCACTCCATGTTCTTTGCTGACGTATGTTGATTTGCTTGTTTTGTTGTGTTTTGTTGTGTCAGTTATCATTGATGGAGGGGTAGGTATTATATAAACGACAAACATAAGAACTTCATTTACAGAATCCAAAAAAGGCGTGGCTACCATGCTTGTATCCAGTCATTGTCAGTAGAAAAAGATCCTGTTGGTTACCTCGGGTCAAGTGATTGGGGGGCCGTATAAGGACCCACGGCTCATTAGTTTTATATATACTGGCTGCTCTTGTGGCTGACTATGTGAAGAAACAAATACGATCTAGCACGATCTAGAAGGAACTAGCTCGTTTGATGCAACGAATTAAGGAAGGATAATCATGGGACCCTACCAATAAATTGTGGGGATAAACTTAACAGCCAAACTCAGGGTTTTCTTTGGAGCCGATCACATGTGAACCCCTGTCTGGGAGTAGGAAAATCAGTACCAACCATGGTATTAGGATATGCATGGATCATCTGGGTTGGGATCGTGTTGGGCGCTTGATTTAATCCCAAATCCGTCATGAAGAATCCTAAGCACTTGTGGATTCTTTAGCCGATTTTGGATGGAACATCCCGGGCTATGATGATCCAAAGACCAAAGGAGATAGCATACCAGTGATGATGATTAATGACATGCTTATCCTCTGCAAATACATCATCGAGCTACAACTGGCCGTATCATACATAATACATAACATATAAATACATATAATAATATATAATTACTCCAAGCTCATCCTCCTGGGTTTTGGCCACTGAAGGCCTAACTCTCCTGGCAAGCTCCATGCCTCTGGATGTGGAAACTTGAAGAAGCCAGGCAAAACCAGGATACGCCCCAGTGCTGAAGCCATATCCAAGGCAGTTTCGTAAGAGATCCGCTGGTTGTGGAATAAACCTGAAACGAGCTGCCACAGTGCCACACTAGCAGACCAATGACTTTGACAACTCAAACAAAAAGGAAACTGCACCAAACACTTCCCCCTGAAATTTCCTGTTTACTCCCAAAGTGGAGTTTGGACATGTGTGGGATGTAATTTTGCTGGCAGAATCTTTTTTGGACCCATGATTCATCTTCAATTCCCAAGTTACAGTTTTAGGACATCCTTGGGAATTGGGCTGTCCTGGTTGTTTTCAAGACCAAGAATCCAACCCTCGGGTCGTGCAACAAAAACCGGCCCGTTTGACAGGTCTGTTCTGTAAGCACAAACTCGTGGGCCGACGCCGCCGCAGAGTACACCGGAGTTCGGCGGAACAGAAAGGAGGGGAGGTCATCCTCGGTAGATATGGCAACTCTACCGACCTCCAAAGGAGTCCGAAATGGTGGAAACCAAACCAGGGGAAATCTTCGCAGTTGTTCAAGTGATTATTAACCATTGGTAGTGGGGGTATACCAAATGTCCACTTACTCGTTCTGAGTTGTGGCGGCTTATCTTCAGTTGGCTCGTGGCCATTGACCCTTGGGGGGTCATCTTTGGGGTGGTCAATCACCCTTCCTTAGCTATTTTCTTAGTGAGTTATAGTCATAGTGATAGACTTGATAGACCGGTCAAATAGTGCTTCTCATGATGGATCAGAATCATGCTCAGGAGTCTTTGACACACTTTGACACACCCAATCAAAATCATAATCTCAGGCTATGCAACCTTTCTTCGCTTTAAGAACCTTTCTTTTTCTTGGGGGGTTTTAAGATCCCCAACCGAAAACAATTAAGCATACAAATCAAACCCGTGTTTTGATGGGTTGTGGTGGGTTTTAGAATGTTTTTTTTTCCGAACCATTTAGAATCCACAAGCCTTTGGCAGTCGCATTCTGAGCTCAGAATCTTCCCTGACCTCCTCGATGTGAAAGGCGCGTTTCTGCCGGAAGGCGATGCCGCGATTTCCGGAGATCAACTCATCTCCTAGGTGCCCCGGGTGCCGCGCTTGGCCGCAAAAGGCATGACATTTATTGGCTCATGGTTATAAGAATGGCTAATAACATCTAATAACCATGGTAAATAATAATCATTATATATATAATAATAATAATCATGAGTGAAATAGAATTTTGGTTAAGAATGGTGAATGATCAAAAGGAATTTGTATCGATTCACCAGGTTTATCCCATGTTATCCCATTGTATCCCGATGTTTCCGACGTTTCTTGCAAGTGGTCTTGTTCAATCTTCGTGTCAGTCGAATCCCTATAATAATGACTTGGGCAGCACGCATGTTTGGATATGCTTGGTAATGTTTGGTAGAACATGGCAGAAGGATAGGCCATCATATCCCATTGATATCCCACCATCCAACGATGGAGTGCTTCCCACTTCCTCCCATCCAAGGCGCCCGTCAGGGTCACCTGGGCCCCCACCGGCAACGTGTCCACTTCCTCTGCAGCACGCCACACAGTGGGCCGGCCAGCCACGGCATGGCGGGTCAGCAATGCAACGGCAGGGATGACCCGCATCCGCAGGGGATGCAGGTGATGTATTGGAAGTTCAGTCCAGTTCTGAGTTTTAGATGTTTTCAGTTTTTGGTTTATAGAATTTGATATAATTTTATGTATGCAGTGGGGTTGAGGAAATTCACAATTAATCCAGTTTTGGTCGGTTGGATTACTCACTTTGGCCCTGACGTCACATGTTTTCAAGCGCTTCAAGTGGTCTTCCCGCGAGTTGAACCACGGCAATTGGGTAAGGTTCAGTACTCTCAACATGTGGGTGGTGGATGTTGGTGGGCGGTACAGTGCTACATGGTATACAGTGGCTGAATAATCTTGGCCCGTTTAGTGACTGGCACACCCATAAATTGCATGTGAATTCCAGGACATCCGCGAAGCTTGGTCTCTTGCAGAATCTTCCAGCTAGCCACTTCTCTACTTCGAGGCCTATTTCTTGTTCTGCATCTGGTCTTGTAGCCATTGGCAAAGTCTTGAGCCGCAAAAAGGCAAGCTGCGCAGCTGCGTGCTCTGGGTTTTCGGCATCTGACTTTGAGTGCCCACTGCTTCCGACCATTTGACCCTTCCGACCTTTAGGCGGTTGGAGTCTGAAAAAAGAGTGTCAAACATTCAAACTCAATATGCCAAGTAAACAATGATTGAAATCACTCAAGCTGGATACGGTAACAGGCTCACAACTTCTCAAACTTGTATATTGCATGTGAAAATACATGAAAGTGCATGTTTATATTTTCGGAATCTTCCTCCAGCCAGCTCACCCACCACGCGCTCTGCAAATCCATCATGAACTTGGAGATCCCCCATTAGCATACTGTGGACAAGTTGCCTGTTGAACATGCGGCCTTCCAATTGACCAAGCATGCACCATTCGTCTATATTGTCCCTTAAAGTACGCTACCACCAGGCACCCTGCGGTTTTCAAGACAAGGAACAAAAGCCCAGAAAAAGCCAAAAGCCTCAGGTTGACCCAGAGATGGGGACCCATATCGAAACCTTTTACCTATCATTACACAGTGCTACACACATGCCGCCCCTCATGCAATACGTTTAGCACTACACAACTTTAGCCAATTAGCCACTAATCCTGGCAATCGACAACAAAAACTGACGCTCAGGGACATTAAGCATCATGAAACCAGCTACTCTTAAGTGATCATTCTTCAAATAGATTGCATATGGTTGCAGCCAGGAAACCCAACTCAGCTCCAGCGCGCCACTCCAATCGTGCGCGCACCTCCCCCATGCCTCCAGCACCTGCGATGCTTCTCCAGGTGCCACTGGTAGTAGCCATGCACCATGTCAAATAATTGGGTATATGATACGGTATATGCGGGATTCTTAAGTGGTGGATCCCCAAAACCATTGGTTTCAATACTAAAATGGTCTAATTTTGGATGATTTTGGGGTACCCCCATCTTAGGACACCTCCAATTATCCATCAATGTTTTGGCTGTTTCCTGCTCTTCATGAGAGCTGCTACTTTTTGACCTTCCCATCCAAAACAATAACTACCCAGACAACATTATGCAACCCTCTGAGCCGGGGCATCATAGATTGATTCTGCTCAGCAAATTTGATTTTTCCCCTGAAATTGGAATGCACCAAAAGACAAGCATTGCAAGCCCACCTGTGTAGCATATATACTTCAAGCAACTTCAGGCCCAACGAATTATTGCCGGCATCCAAAAATAGATATATACAGTAGATCTACCATCTCTCCAACCAACATTGACCTTGCAAAATAAGAGGTTGGAAGACTACCTTCCACTAAGAACAGGTGATTCTTGCAGTCTACGTTAGTTGGGCGGATGGTCATAATTCCTATAGCCCTAAAAAGCATCTCCACAACTTCAGACAGCAGCCAAGGCACGACTTTGGTCAAGCAAGCTGCCGGGTGATGGCAAGAAGGGACAGAAACACAGCGCAGCCAGGGTAAAACGCACCTTGCGCCGGAAGAGTGGTGTCCATGCTGTCCCCAAAGCTGGCAAATCTGGCAAACACAAAGCTGGAGAAAGAATATCAAAGAATTAGACAGGCATATGCATGAATTATAGTGAATTATATCAATTATACATGAATTCATTTAAAACGAATTAACGAGTGAATGGACGAATGATTGAATCAATCAAACAATCAATTTACCAATCAATTAACCAGTCAACCAGTCGAATCAATGAATCCAAGGGATCCAAAAAGGGCTGCGGTCACAAAAAATGCCCTCATGATCCCAGAGTCAAACCACTGCTCTTAGGGGTCTGCAATCTCTTGTTCTGGGCAATGCTATTTTTTTTTTCATCTCGTATGACAACTTGACAGGGCCTCCAACGGAAGCACAGGCTGGTATCATTTCTGTTGACTCTCCAATTTGTGAGGTGGGCAACAATCAACTACACTAAATAAACGTCTCACCGTTTAAATCTTCGAACGGATTCTTGGTGGGAGTATTTTAGCCAGCAGGATTTTTAGTAGTTTAAGGTTTTTTGAGTCCAACCAACCTTAAACATATAAACTCAAGCGAGATCCACAAATAAACAAGAAATCTGGTTCTTTCCATCCAATACATAATCCAAGTGGCTAAATTCAAGCTGGCGGCTTGCCTGGGCGGGGTCATCAAAAGGATACGAACCCGAACTCCATGCAGGATAGAAAACACTGCGCATCTATCTTACATATAGTATTACATACATGTATATATGTATATATAAATATATATATATATAAGTATAAGACACATAGTTACACGTGTATATATACATATATACATATACATATTATCCACCCAAATCTATATTCAATAATCATCTATCTACATATTCAATCGTATTCAATGATCTATCTGTGCAAATACATTAGATATATACCATATGTTGTGCGATACACGTGTTTCAGATATGTATAAATACGTGTATGATATGTCTTTTATCTGTGAATCATACAATTAGCATCAATTAGCCTGCTCAAGTAAACCCTGAACGTGCTCTTCACAAGTCCTCGACAGTCAGTTCCAAAGAATCCCTGGCGAAGCCGCGTGAAAGCACCTGTAAAGGCATACTAGACATGCTGTGTAGCTCGGTGCTGCCAGCCCCTGTTGCGCATGCAGCATCCACCACGGCCGCGTCAAGCGGCACTCATTGCCATCGAAGGATTTGCGTGCACACATGAGCCAGTGCAAAACGGCAATGCGGCCTGTTTCGCTCTGAGATTTGACAGCCCAGCTGAATCTCCAGCTGAGATAATGATGAAATCTCACAGGCCTCTGGATTTCGTTCTGCGGCGTGCCATCACAGTCCCAAGTGAGATGGGGCCATCTGGCGAATCTCTCAGTGCAAAAAGGGCAATGTCCAACTGCTGCATCCGTACGAGGAATCCGTGCCATGCTGGTGACACTACGCTGTAAAGGCATACTAGAGACATCTCTGAAACATCTGGCAAGCCCAAGCGTCTCTGGTGGCTTCTGGGAAAAAAAACAGGAGAACAATCAACTTGTTTGATGAACAAATCCCTGCCACACGGTAAAAATCAATACATGCATAAGCATCAAAATTCAAACGTTGCTGGGTGGACATCATGGTGCACGGCAAACAATTGCCCTTCTCATACCAACGGCACCTAGGGCGATTTAGGGCCAATGCCAGCTTCAATGTCAACAAAATTTGTTTGACCTAAAGTGGCTCATGACAAGGCCTGTCCCCAACCCTGCCCGCAAACGATTAACTGTTTGTAACGAGCTGCAAGCTGTCATTGGCTCCTGAAGCCAAAGTGTACTTGATAATGGCATGCTGCGATCCCCACAGGACCTCAAGATACAGCTCAGCATGCGAAGGCTTTCTACCATGGTCGTTTCCCTGACAGAATTGGATAACTTTAGCCCAAAAAGTCCAGTTTCAAAACGGCTGGGAATGCCAATTGCACCCATCAAAAAGGCCCGTGATTGACCAGTATCCACCTCTATCCACAGAGCTGAACCCCTTCTGCCCAGGGACTGTCACCAAGCCAAGTACTAACACAGCCACAGATCGATCCAAGAACTTTCCTTTGGTCAAACTCCTGTGGTCAGGCTGCGAGCTGATGTGGGAGGTCAGGATGTACTTGTCCCGTATGACACATGCTACTGCATCATACACATAAGTTAATATTTATGTGCATATATATATATATATAGTAAACATATATATAATTACACATATTATGTGATATATGTGTTTGTGTTGATTGTTTAATATATCATCCGTTCCCCAGCCTATTACTAAATGTATCCCAAATATCAACAACCAAGGTCCGTGGAAATGTGAAGTTTGCCAATTTAATTTTTAATTGACCACCTTTTGAAAACAATTTAAACATGACAGTCTCATATGAGGGTTTCACCTCCTAATCATAAAACCTAGTCAACACAGGGATTTTTTATTGTAGGGTCCGTCCTTTAAAATTGTTCAGTTTTTCCATTAAGGTCTTGAATTAAAAATAAGTGTAGCCTTCGAAATCCAATTTTTGGAAATAGATGGATTTTTTTTAATCAGCTTTTAAAAAGAGTTTTAATCGATTTTGGAATAGAAATAGTCATTTTTCTTATTAAGCTTTTTGGTTTAATATTAGGGAAAAGAGTCAACATCCATTTCTTGGCAATATTTAGATTCTAAAAATGAATTTAATTGATTCTGAGATCGACAATCTTAGTTCTTTAATTAAGGTTTCTAATTTAGTGTAGTGTTAGGGTGAAGCATAGCACCCTAATATTAAAACCCCCCAGGTGTCTATTAGGGGGAGGGGGGATGGCTTAAATATTCGGGGGAGGTGAATATATATATATATATAATATATATAATATAATATAATATAATATAATATAATATATAGAATATTATATATATAATTCATAATATTATATCATTGTATATCCAGGGTGCCATGTTTAGAAGGGCCAACGGCCCAAGAAAACTTGCAAAAGAGGAAAACATAGTTATATCCATGTCTGTGCAATCTGGGAAATTGCAGGCAGTTCGGCAATGGACTGGACCAACACAGTTACATACAGGTCGGGAGACTGTCATAGAGTAGCAAAGTTTCCGGATCGGAGCAATGATGCTAGGTGGGTTGTGAAGGAAACTATCTCAAATCAAAACACTAAATAGTGTATTGTCAAAACATGTGGAAAACAATTCACAAAGCATAACAACACTTTTCTTATCATCCCCTACTTCCCCTCGTGCCAGGCTGAACCACAACCAAGCCTATCGCTCTCGGTCAAGCTCCAGAAGTCTGTTGTCACCTGTTTTTGAATGATCAATCCATTCGTTGTCGCTCCGGGTTGGTGTCCAAATGGGTACCCCCACATGGCCTTTGTATATCTCTTTCAAGGTGGAACTTTTTAAGAAAAACTCCATAGGAGATTGGGGAGATTTGGGGAGTAGGCCTTGCGCGTCCCTGGCCCTGGCCTGCCTGAGTTTGAAAACTGAATCAGAAACACCATCTGGACTTATCTGGGTATAGATTAAACCCAGGAACCAACCTCCCCAAATAATTTTCACACGCAACTGAGGAATCAACGTCTGAGTGCGTATGATGTGCAAGCATGTGCAAATACAGGATAATAAGTAATTAAATAAGGATCAACAGTAGCACAAAGTGTCCAAATATGTAAAAATTATTTATTCTAGACCTGCAAGTGGGTCAGAGACTTGCAAGAAGCAGTCCCAACATCAGTGGCACCTCATCTTCCGCACTTCCAGCGGTAGTGGAGTTGCTCTCTGATGCGAACTTTGGTGAAGTTTTCATGTCGATGTCCTGGAGAGGTAGGGATGGTTCATGAGCCGGGCTGTGGATTCAGCCCATCAATTTCCCCCGTCTAAATATGACTCAATAATTGAATCAATGATAACCAACCATGGGTCATACCATATCCCCAAGACCTTCCGTACATTGTAAATCGCCAAGGCTTTTTGAAACCCAACCTTCAGTATTTTGACTGCATTTTTTTTCCCTGAGCCCACCAAAACCTGAAGCTACAATGACCCTGCTGGTGTACCATGTGTACCTGTCAGTCCGGAAACCTCTAGCATATGGGTCGTTTGAGTTGGTTCCAGCTGCAAAAAATACATCCTATACTATAATTACACACGACACATATTATACACATATTAGAGACATACATACGTTGTTACATATTTGCACTTTTGAAACCATGAAATTGGCACAACTTTGTTATACATGCATTGAGAGAGACAAAGAGAGAAATACACAAATAAAAACTATATTCATATATAAATACGTAAATATGCATATACATATATATATATGTATAACTGATATATTACAAAATATATCAAACATAATAAAAACTGATAAACTAGTTGTTAAAATATCAACATATTGTAAAATGTTCCAATTATGACATAATACAAATATAAAAATATATGTAATTATATATATATACATCTATATATATGTATATATATATATATATAATTACATATATATATATATTTATATTTGTATACATATAAGATATGTGTATCTCAATCCCCTCTGTGGCCTTCACCTCCGTTGCCTTTCGCAGCACTGGTGGCCCCGGCGCCGCGGTGCCCCGCGGCGGTGCCACGAAGGCAACGGTGCCAAGGCTAGCGATGCCAACGGCGACGGCGAGGCGACGCAGCGGGACACGGGGACGACGCCATGGCATGTTCAAAATATCAAACCACTTATATCAATGATTGACAGTTGGTATCAATGGAACCCAACATATCCCATAGGATCCATGTATGGTATATATGCTAACATTTGGGGTATATTGATGGTAAATGTCACCATATATAGCATACATGGATCCTATGGGTATGAACACACACATATTATATATATATATATATAAGAACGTCAGCAACAAACATGGTCCGTTAGATGAAGATTTCCAGTGGTATGTATAGTGTTGCAGTGTAGCGAGTAGTTTATTGGATTGTTTGGTTTTCAAGTTGCAAACCAAGTTACACTTGAGACTTTGCTGGTGGCAAGCCAAGGTAGGGTTTCGGCGACATTGTTTCCTGCTTTCGAGGGTGGCTTTTGCTTTGTGCTCATTCATGCCAAGTGATGTATGGCAATATTTGCTACAGGCTGCATTTCCGTTTTCGCCACCATTAACAAGCTGAAACCAGTACACAAGCACATATGCGGCTAGTGGGAGCTGCAATCCAGGTGGACCTGCAATGGGCCCCGTGGAAGTGTGTACTATCTATTTATTTATCTATCTATCTATCTATTAATGTATCTATCTATCTCTGTCTGACTGTCTGTCTATCCATCCATCCATCCATCCATCTACATAGTTAATGTAATTTACACAATATGTGTAAATATAAATATAAATATATATATTATATATAATTATTATATATATATATAAATCTAGATTCTAGATTCCAGACATTGGTGGCCATCTCAGTCTTCACTTGACAACTCCGAGGCCGAGATAACAACGTTGAACACGCTTCAAACATCTTCAAACCCTGTCTCTCTGAATGCCCTCTCTTCATGTTCAGAACATCATCGGACTTGACCAGCACAGTTTTTGGGGACAGGTTACATGTTGTAAACCATGTTGAACCCCAGTGCCTTGACCATGATTTAAAATCGTGGCTTCCATCACCCTTGCCAGCCATGAGGGGCGATACCAGGCCCTGTACCCACCGACCATCGCAGCATTGCAGCGTTTGATCGCCAAGCACCCGCAGACTGGGGGCCTAAGCAATGACCCAAGAGGTCCATCGGTGCTGCGAGATGAGCCGGTGTGGTGGCCTCGCTACACTGGGATGAAGCAATCCATTCCAAAATATGAAGTACATTTGAAGACTGGTGAAAATACTTCCATATGGGCACCCAAAATGATGTGATCTGAAACCAGGGTTTCTGGGATAGTATTCAATATTAGCGGAAATGGGACTACTATTCAAATGGCCTGAAGTGTGTGCCCGACAGCAATCGAACATCGCAATGGAAGGTCGGCATTTTACTCATCTACACATTCCATTGCTGGCAAAGTCGTGGGGCAAATGGGTATAAGACGAAAGGAACCAGTGACTTTTTCGGGCTTCTGGTACCTAAACATTGTCATTCAAGGTCATGCAGTCTTACCTACACATTCACCTTTTACTTATTCCAGGCTCATGAACCACTGGTACTGTTACCGATGGAAATGGATGACCTGGGTCTTTGTGTACCTTGAGGCACTCCTGACCGCTGCTCCTTCGCAACTGAATGGACCAGTTCAAAGATATCCAGCGTGACCCGTGGAGTGCTGCACTCGGCCAAAGAGCTCGGCGTCAGGGGAGCAAGATGTTTCGATCTTCAAATTGTTCATGAAGTATCATACATCCGATAGGGGCATCTGGGGTCACCATCCGAGAAGAAATGGTAGGTCCGTTACAGTGTAATCAGTGTACTCAGACTCAAAGCGGCTCATACCCCAATTATGCTCAGATTTTCATAGGTTGTTTCCACATATTTCCATAATCCTGTTGGTCCCAAATGATCCAACAGCAATCAGTAGACACACCCCCTGACACCGAGGAAAAGCTCTCTAGGCTTGATGCAACCAGCGATTTGGTCATGGTACTGCGGAGCCACTAGGCTTTGGAGATCGTAGTTTTCCCATAGAATTAAATATATACAAGTATATGTAAAGTAGCACCAAAAGAGATAGAAATGTGGCAAAATGATAATCATTTTGAACATATTTGAAATTAATGAAATGCACTTGGTGGTTCATCCCGCTCAGCAATTAAAAAAATATAACCTCAGTTGTGTTCGGACCAAGTTCGAACCAACCTACTTGTCTGACTGAAACCAACCTACTGACATGTAGGATAAACTACAAGGTAGCCTTGGACTGGCTGAAGTGGCCTGAACAAAACAAACAAACCTGCTGTTGGTAAAGCAATCATAAACCACCAATATTTTTTTTTTATGGTTTATACCTCCCATTCATAGTAAAATTGTGGATGGCTTACCATTGCTTTACATGATTTTAAAAATACAATATATATATATAAAGCATTTGCAAACTTATCCGATGGGAAACATCAGGAGACACCTTCAGCAAATCCAGTCAGCAATCACCAGGCATACTGAGGTACATCGTTCTCTGAAATCATGTTCTGTGGCATGATTGCTCTGTGTCGCTAAGCAGCTGATGATTCACCTGGAAAAGCCAAAATTGGACGATACAATTTTCTTGATGGAAGTAGACATCACTGGCGGTCAACCTGTCCTCTATTGGCCTCATCGGAGAGCGCCTGGTTAAAAAGAATGCTATGGCAAAATACTATTATCAAATGAGCTCATCAACTAGCCACAATGTGTTTTTCATTGTTTTTCACAACATCTCCCATTGATTCTCATTATCATCAGAGGCTCGCAGATTCCTGGCTACAGCGTTTATATTCTTTGGTGTTCTGACACGAATTCCCACGGAAGCCCAATGGAGTAAGAAAAAAAGAATAACATGCAGTTCCTGTTCAATTTGTTCAATATTGCTCAATCATACCCACAAACTGCATGTTGAAAGGATCCATCCACGATTTGGATGTCAGAATGCACAAAGACAGCTGTAGCCGTTACGAGCATGGCGCGGGAATCTCGCCAAAGGCTAGAGCTTGAGTCCGTACATCCGCCATCCCAAGAAATATGCAGGAATCCACATGGTTAAAAATAAACCTGGATCTTCTCTTGGCACTTTTTTCTGCTCATAGCAGTTTTCGCTTGGATTTACGTTCGTTCTGACTTTTTATGCTCACTTGAAGTCGAAAGCGCGCATTTGTTTCTTGACGGACAGGTATTTACGTTTTTTTCCGGGTATTTACGTTTTTTCCCGGGAAAATAGTTCATCATGTTTGCTTCAAAATGCGCAAAGTGCAAAAATGCCAAAAGTGGTGCCATTACGCTAATGTGGAGAAAAACTGCTCAAAAAACAGAAATCTCTCAAATGAGCATTTATTTGTGTTCATATCTATGTACATATACAACTCCACATATACTGCATATCATACATATTTACCCATACAATGTAAATAAATGTAAATAATTAAACCTTCTCTGCGTGTATTTGGAACCACCAATGAGATGCCACATATGTGCTGGTTTCACCAGCTGAAACTTGGGATATCTTGGGATGCACTGCATCCAGGGCGCATCTGGTCCGATCAGGTTGAATGATGTGGCATGCTCCAGGAAACAACTATTTCCATTCCACATGTGTGCCATTCACAATCATAATATATCATAATCATTCAATATATTCAATCAATCTGAGTTGTGAGCAATGGATGCCCACTCCGACATTACCTTTGGCCTATCTGACGCTGATCTTTCTTGGAAAGAATCAGCTGTAGTGCCCGTCCGGGTCAGAGAAAAAACATGGCCATGTCGTCGTATCATATCCATAAGCATGATGCTCCCGTTGAAGGCTGCAGTTTGGCTTATGTGACATAGCGCGTGATATTTTAAGTTTTATGTGCTTGGATGAAGTTGCCCACATACTTGTTTCCAATTAGTTACTAGCAATCCACACAATCTGATATCCAACAAAAACAGCAAACCATCAGCCTTAATAAATTTTAATACTCAATGATGCTTAATATATTATTAGTATATATACATCAACACACATCAGCCATTCTGAGTAATTATAGCTTAGCTGATGACCATGCTCACCATTTATGTCTTCTATAGAAAATGTTCAGCCTTGGATCTCACAAACAGTGAACGCGTAATCAGCCACTGGTTCCAACATTGTCTAACAACCTTGAAAAGGAGCATCAGTTTGGACTAGATGTTCTCCGATTCCATGGTTGCTCCCTGTGTCCAGTTGAGAGATTCTACAGGCCAACAATAAGGGCGGTCTTTCTTGAAAGAAACGCAGTTTGGACCGATTTTGATATTTGGGGGGCAACCGCTGCTTGCTTCTGGCAGCTTGTATAGATGTCATAGTCATAGATGCCGCTTTTCCAACCTTGCCAGGGGACTGTTCATCATGAAACACAATTCAAAGAAAATAATTAAATGAATTTGCCCAATCAAAAAAAGGGTACAGTAGAGAGTAACCGTACCCCAAGTTCCCAATATGTTGTTCATTTTCCGCTTTAAAATCACAATTGTGGGGGTACACCGTGTGCCTAGTCGTCGCCGCTTGGTCGACAGCGGCGAGCCAGGCTTAGCCCGGCTCATCACTTTGATAGGTTGGATAAGGTCCTGAGAACACCCAGCCAGGTATGCTAGGTGCAGTGGGATGGAACCAATGACGTTTGGATTTGGTCCACAAACCGCTTGGGGATTTTGGGCATGAGAGAGAGAGAGAGACATATATATATATATATTCATACATACATACATACATACATACATAACCTTACCTTACATTACATTACATTACATTGCATTACATACATTCATTCATTCATTCATTCAGTCATTCATTCC